GCAATAGTTGTAGATAAACTAATTATAAATAATACAAACCAAATTTCACTACGATGGCATGCGTAGAATTTGATTGATATGCAGTAAAGTAAACGACTGTAATTTCCAGGTTTGTAGGGGGTTGGAGGGGGTTGGGGGGGGGAGAATCGGGAACTTTTTGAAAATACACGTCTTAAGTGGTTCTATCACATATAACAAATTCAGCTTTCCACTATTTAGCTACGAAAAAAGGCAGTTTGTGTGTTTATTGGCTGGGCTAGATGCGACGACGCAGCGCAGAGGTGTTCAACTAGCGCGCACGCGCTCACTTTGCCGACACCCAGCACTTCACCCGGTCACCTAGATGACTAACCAATAATATATTTGTAAACCTTGAAAAACGTACTAAAACTTTTGTTTGAATCATATTTGCGTATTATTTCTATTTAATAGTATACATTGAGAAAAACAAAATTTTGCACTCTGAAACTAAGCTTTAAACGAAGTTTAAATTTTATATCTCCCTAAGTATTGGTTTTAGAAAAATGTTACAAATACAAAAGTTGTAGGAAAACTAATAAGGAATAAAACAAAACAAATTGCAGCTCGATAGCTTACATAGCATTCGAATTATGACCAATTAAGTAAAACACTGCAATTTCTAGGTTTGGAGGGGGGTGGGGGGGAAAGCTCAAGGGGTAGAAGTGGGGACTTTTGGGAAAATACACCTCTCATGTGGTTCTATCACATATAAAAAATCCAGCTTTCCACCATTTAGTTGCGGTTAAAAACATTTATTGACTGGGCTAACAGATGGATCATAAACATAAACAAATTATGTTACTGGCCCGAAAGTAAACATTATTTAACATTGCTTAAGTGGAACTGTCTAAACCATATGCTAATGTCATTTTGTTTATGTTTATGATCCATACCGGTTCTGTTCAAGTATTTTTGGTTGAAACTGTTTAATAAATACAGTACAACGAAACTATTAATTGAACTCGGTAACAATGCATGTATAAAACTAGAATTACTATATTTCGTTAACATCACACGTGGTTTGTACTTTTGTAAAATATAATTTTTTTATGAATTTATATTGCCTAACTATAATATTTTGTATTTTATTTTACTTTCCGTATGCAAAACCTCGCAAAAAACTGATGTTATGGGAAAACAGATAAATTTATTCATTACTCCACCCTAACAACATCCATTCGTCCGTCCTTTCATTAGAAAGAAGCGCTAGATGCTAGATAACCTATACGATCTGGACGAATTTCTTTTCTCACAAGCCTATTCTTTTTACTCACACAATCATCACAATGAACGATATAATTAATGTTAAACAAGTTCAACAGTTCAAAACAGTTAATAATAGTTTACAAATAAACCAGTTAAGTTATATTCCCTTTAGCAAGGTCTTGTCCTGTCAACCTTGTAGTAAACTACAGATGAATAAGAAAAACTCTCAGATAAATAGGATTGCAAAAAAAGTGGTAACGAGGTAAGCAAGCGCCATTACTAGACCACTTATTAAGTGTCGATGGCACTTTTTCATCATAGGTTCACTTTTAACCTTGTCGTGGTGTATTTTATATTGACCTAGATTGGGAAACGCTGTGCTTCCCATGAAACACTTCATCAAGGAAATTGAAATAAAAATTTTTACAAACACTATAAATGCTGTCAAATTTAATTACTCCCAGTGTTTTCAACAGATTTTAATCAATTTGGTGTCTGTGGACGATATTTAATATGACCATGAATGAATATGTTATGGTAAGACATCATAAACATGAAATGGTCTACTGTGAAAGAAAATGGTCCTACTATTCTCTACCAATCAGGTAAGATAACTTTGTTTAACATCGACGTTTCACTACTGCTGACATCACTTATGGAGTGTGACGTAATATTGCTCAGCTGACTGCAATCAAGTCACGTGTTTACAGCTGTTACTCCACACCTTGGCAATGACCGGTCAATTACACAGCTGATGAGTCTGGTTACCCAATTATCCACGCAATCTTCGATTTGGCTACCTGTTGCTGCCCTTGTTCGTTTGTGTACAGATTTAAATAGTTAATAATCTAGGACTCAGGCTAAACGTTTTTGGGACCAATTTCATTTTTCGTTTTTATTTCCCCAGAGACAATAAAAAATCCGGTCATGTGTTTGTGTCCGTTAGCACGACAACTCGAGTAAAAATCATTCGATTTTGATGAAATCCGTTACAATTAAATGGGTAAACTTACATTTGTTTGAACGAGTTTGCGAAGCAGCATGACTCCCAAAACATGAAATTCAGAACATGAAAGACAAATAATGTAGTATATTGAAGTGTTGTTGGTTATTGTACGCCTAATCGTTACGGAGAAAAATCCAAAACACTGCGTATTTAAAATTTATATGTTATTCTAATGGATCATAATTAGGCCTACACTGTTTTGATTTGATGGTTTAGAGATACATTTCGTTCAAATTTTGGAAATTTGTTTATTTCATACTAAGCTACAATTTCAATAAAACCCCTACCGTATTATCTTACCTGTAGTTAGCAGCAAACCTAAGTACTAAGTACAAATTAAAAGCAATTTAAATAGAAAACAAATTTGACTATTTAAACGAATATTTTTGTGGAAATCCAACCAGGTAAATGGAAACTCGCCAAGTGTGCAGGTTGGCTGTGACGGGGGCATTTACACTGCAATCAACAATTAGCCATTGTTAAAAACAATACACGGTAGTAATGTTAGTAATTAGTTCGATTACCGCTAATTCAACACTCGTATCCATCTTATATGACATTCAAATAATTAGTTACTCGCACGAAACACTTATATTCTGATGTATTATGCATTGTGAGAAAAAAGCCGTGAAGGACGCGTAAACTATTGTTTGCCAATCGTTAGACAGTTTCTCCGGAGAATATAGTTATTATATTAGCAAGTTAATCGTTAATGGTCTATAAAGAGGCATTGCGTTATTAAACACACTAACGGGTCTGTTTGTAGTAAAATATGCACAATAGACATTGGTATTATGCGGTTATGTTATCAGGACTGCGAGCTTTTTGATAAACCAGGAAATATTTTCGAACAAAGGTCTCTTTGTACAGAAGGGAAAAGTTGTGGAATTGTGAAAAATGCCTTACAAAAGAGTGTTGCAGTAATAATAAGTAGCCTATATTAAAGTTTGAGTCACTAATGACCAAATGATCAGTGATAATTCAGAAAATCTGATCCAGTGGTGGTTCTAGGGCCATGTCAGGGGGGGCGCTAACCCGGGTGTCCCAAACCAGGGTCCCAAAAATTTGAAATTTTTAGAGCAGTTTGGTGAGTTTTAAAGCCATTTTCAACGTCTATAACTGTGTCTAAAAACCTGCCGTTGCATTCTATTTTATAATGTAAATTTAAATTTATATTTTCAGGTTCCAAGGGGGGGCTTTAGCCCCTATAGCTCCCCTTGGAAACACCACTGGTCTGATCTTAAAAACTGAAAGTAAAAACACAGAGAAGACATCAAGGATTGCTCGATTTGGTTTTCTTTATTGTAGTCCGTAACGTCACGTGGACTAGCTCATATTTACACCACTTTCATACGTCTAAACAATAAGTTGTTTAATTGGCGACATTTCTGGTATCCCAAAAATAGAGTGAAGGTTGAAGACATTGTGGAGTTCAGTTACTGTTTTGTATTGTTTGAATTAGCCCAGAGCGTGACTATTTGCATAGAATAAAGAGATAGTGAAGGTAAAGTTAAGGTATAGAGAATTAGTAAAGGTATCTCTTTATTCTGTGCTACTACATAGTATCATGCATGTAAACTATGACGTACACCCATTGACTCCGCTGTGAGATGATTATCATGCAGTTGAAATTTATTTGTAAAAATACTCAAAAAACAAACTATTAACACGTTGGATTTGGATGGTGTTATTATGCAGAAGCTATGACAAATACAAAAATATTCCCAGCTTTGACATTAATTATAAGTTGTCTAGTACAATTATTGAATTTACCACATTTAGGATAGATAAAAATATGCAAGCGTTTACCAATTGTAACTCCAGTTTTCTTGCGTGTCTAAAACTTCAATCGGTGTCTCTACAAGTTATGTATAAGCCATGTATTAATTAGAGAAGCAAGCTAATACCATAATCAAGATAAGCAGTAAATACAACTTGCTTGACAACGTCGTAAAATGTAAACTAATAATTTAAGTAAACTCGTAATGCAATATCAAGGTCAATGACAGATTACTGATAGCCTGTATACCCTATGAAAGGTATATTTAAATGTTCCAGTATAGTAGGCATACTTTTTTTCTCTTACAGTAATTATTTAAATGACCTTTGTCGGATACTCACCAAAATTAATATGCTAAAACCATGTCTATTAGAGATGTAAAAAAATACGCCCACACCCATACTCATTGTATCATTCCTCTTATTGCATTTTTATTTGGGTTACACTCGTCTTGGTTGGGTAAAGTTGTGTCTTGAATGGGTTCCTTTAATTAATAATAATTGTAGTCTGATTGAGGTAGGGAAATCATTCTTTATTGTATAGGTCTAAAATCGACATACTGTATTCTAAATATTGCAAATAAGAAGTACAGTACGAATTTTCCTGAGGTAGTGGCTGTCGTCTTTTAGGTTTATATGCCTATAAGTCTCTACTTCCAAAATGTATTCAAAATCCTTTCGCTGGATTTCTAAATAAATAAATATTACAGACAGACAAACCAACAGACATAGCTCGTATTAGAGTATAGGAGAGGAAGTAAAACATACAGTAAAATATGTTCTCCATAAGGTGTTTATTCGTCCGTTTTACTGCAATCCGTCAATGTAGACCCTTGAACTGACTATCTAATAATTATGCGATCCAGCTTAAGCCTTCACAAGGAAATGTCTCCTAGCTTTTTCACACAGTGTAATTATAACCAGCCAATAGGATAATTGCATTAAAGTAATAAAAACTTGTCAGGAAACTGTTTTTATCTAACCTAGACCTAGAGGAATCCAGCATTGAATTGCAAGGCTAGAGTGCAGTGGAATCATACTAGGAGCTATTCTGGAGGTGAGGAGTTGGGTGTGTTTTATACAATTATTAAATTATTATTTTACAACTTGCAATCAATTAATTCAATAATGGGTTGTATTTTTTCCTATAATGGTAAACAATCACTAGGGTATTTAGTCAGCTAGTTTTTGCAATAAAATTATAGTGTGTGATGAACGTTCTTCTATATTTTTTGTGTCTCTATTATTAGAGTGTAGTTATTTATTGCATGGGAGTTTGAACGGTTTATGCATAAAAAATCATTGCAAGAAATTCCTAAGAATGGAGAATAGTTTTTATGTCTATTCTTAACTGGTAGTAGAATCTTACGATACTTGAAAATATGGACATAAAATATTTATGAAATTATTTCTGATGTCAGATAGTTTAAGATATTTATTTGTAGACGGATTCACCAATTTTACAGGAAAATACAAGATTTCTGTGGGCCAATAAATTAACTAGCTTAGTACATAAAACTAGAGACAACCAGTGTAACAAGAACAAAGCATAATAAAGATAACCTCAAAATATTGATTTCTATAAATTACTAGCAGAATAATAGAAACGATGCAATAGACTCTGAGCAACAGGAACAAAAATAACATGCCAGACTCTAGTAACAAGAATAAGCAAATCAAACAACTCTATGCAACATGAATAAATACAAACAAAACAATGTAGATAAAATCAGTTACTACTGTACTCAAAATAGGTATTGTACTCTGAATAATTTAACATGTTTGCAAGACTACAAAAACATTCGCATTCGATATTGTACACAGTATTAACTTATTTAATGTGACAGGTAAATGAAAAAAATTTATTCCACGAATTAAATATTACTGGTTACTTTAACTTACTTTTAAACTATGCAGGATTAGTAAAGAACTTATACAGGCAATTCACTGATTATATTGTGCCTTTAAAACTGATAAATTGGGATTATAGAAATTTAAAGATATTACTTGTACTTTATTCTTCCTATAAAACATATTATATTACATTCATAAAAACCGAAGATAATATTTCTACCAACAGAGCGGCTCGGCGTCACTTCAGTTTTAATTACGTATGACTGATGATTTCGTACGTACAGTATGCAGTATGTCTATGTAGTTATGCTAACAAACACATGTTCTATCCTTTAATTGTTTTTTTTTTTTAATTAGGTTCAAATAATATAACAGAACACGATATAATTCTTTAGAATTTATAATTTTTGATCTCAGTCCATCAAAGTAAAAAACTTTAAAAAAGTTCAAAAATACAAACATTATATTTAATTTAAAATGTACCATAGTAAAAAGAAAAGGGTTTAAGGCCACAGATACTAAGGTGCCACGAATAAATTAAATTTGTTTATGCAATATTGTTAAAAAATATGGTAAAACTAATATAAATAACGGTTAATAATGGTTTTGATGCCAAAGAAGAGTACCCCTCAAGTTAATGGATGTTATAGAGATTTTTTATGAATATGTGATTTATTATAAATTTGAATATCACAGTATGTATGAAAAACAGTACGTTATAATAAAGTAAGTAACCTACTAAGCCATACAAACCTTTATTTTCAAAAACATCAGCAACGCCAACAAACAAAAAGGATTATTGAGATACAATTTGTTTTACTCTTAAATATCACTTCTACACATTCTCAACGACGCATGCAATTTATTATACTAAGTGGGCGGTTTTCAAGGTGTTCCGATCAAACGGAATAATCGTATTGGCCTTGTCAATAAAAATTGATTGGACATTAAATGAAGTCGACATTAAATTGACATTTGTGCTCTCATTACCACTTGTACATTTACATATCTTAGATATCGTAAGGCGTCTTGATAAAAACACGAGTCTAGTGGAAACGACAAAAAACGTATAGCGTAGTCGTTGAGAAATACTGATTTATTTTCCTCAATCAGTATTTTAATCTATTTGCAATCCACACTAAAAAACAAACAAGATTGTTGTTACAATCTTTTAATGGGCTTTTCATGGAGACTTTTCATATAATTAAATCTAAGGCTTACATTACGATCCAATTTATTTTTATAGTGGAGACCAACAATAACGATCCAGAGGCTACATCTCCAAATGAAAACTTTTCATATGTTTTGATTTATATTATTTGCAATAGGCTTTGTCACCTTGTCACAATCAGATATAAAACTTAGTAGTTTATAGAACATGTAATGTTTTTATGTGTTTTCAAGAATATAATCAACATTAAATAAGCGTGACCTTTTTGTGTTTTTAACGTTTTCCTTATACTGAAGAATCTAATACTATAGATGGTATAGTAACACCTGGACCCGGGACCGATTTAATCTTTCATGTTTGTCTCCCAAGAGACCAAACAACAAAACCACCATAATACTAATTTTCTTCATGAATTTCATTCAATCTTTATAGCAACTTAGCAGACGCACAGTCACAGCCTGCCTGCTAATTCCAGAACTAAATAGATAGGAACAACCTTTGACACATGTATATAGTTAAGTAGTTATAGTTAAGTAGTTATAGTTAATTAGTTTAGTTTTGCATAAAACCCTTTTTCTTTTCGTATATTTGGTTTGTAATTTTATATATGTGGTGGAATAAATTAATTCATTTATTCATTCATTCATTCACTGTTCAAGCTCAAATTTATATATAGCCTATGTATGTGTCCGTAAACTTGATAACTCGAGTAATATAGGTACGTTATTGATGAAATTTGGCATGGATGTGTAGGGCTAGATTAATTTGATTCAGCTCACGAAACAGCAAGACCGAGTAATAGGATCAAGGTCTTATGGGGTATTGATTTTTTAAAATTAAGGTTTCTTAATAATTATTCTTACAACATAAAAATTCTAAACAGTAATTGTAGAGCTAACACAACACTCAATTATTAATATTAGACAATTAGAAGGTTTTAATGAAGAAATACTTAACTTCCTAGAGATAGCGTGGATAAGTATATTCAACGTCTGGAATTAAATATCATAACAAAACATTTCATAAATCATTTAAAAAACATAAGGAAATTGAAATAAGCTATTTTATTTCCAGCCACTTTTTCACAGGTGATTATGATAGTTGCTCAACATGAGTTAAACGAGGATGACAAGCTGGAATTAAAATCAATTACTTTGATTACATCCTTACACAATAATTGGGTCACTATTAGCCTATGTGCAATTCTTAACGCATTCTTGTGGTATGTCAATAAGGCAGGTAGGATTACTAGTATTAACGCCTAATTACTAGATTACTACACCTGATTACTAGTAAACGCAGCCTAATGTAAGGTTAAGTCTCAGATTATTTGATGATTTAGTCATCAGTAGGAAGTCTAGTTAAAATCGAATTTCTTTATAATATTATTCTGTCTTAATTTTCCTGAATTATTGAAGCTATCGTGTGTAGAGCTATTTTAAGCTTTACAATATAAAAATATAACTATAAACCACTACCTAATGATTTGGATATATTTTACAAAATAAAGTTTCAAATTCCTTTGTTGAGCTTATTTTTGAGCCTATTTTAATTTATAAAGGGATTCTGCACATCTACAGGAAAATATCTTTGTAACAGTATACGTAGATTTTTCTCAGCGATGCACACGAGCTAAGAAAAAAGGTTTTAAAAAAACAATTTTTTGAATACTCTGGAATTCATTATAGAAATGTTTTTTCTTCGGAAGCCGCCAAACTTTTGTTGAAGCTTATTAGTTTTGAATCTGTAGAAACGAAAAAGTCACTGTGATAACAATCTTTTACTTTCAGGTTTTTTGGAGTCAAAATGTTGGCAGCCCTAGTAAGTGTGTTAACCACACTTATCGTCTACTTTTCACTGCTATTTGCAGCCTTTTGGATCTGGTTTCAATGGAGACACCGCGACTTACTCCGTGTTGCCAACAAATTACCCGTTTATCTACCAACTGTTCCACTTCTGGGCCATGCTTATCTGACATTTAAAACTCCAGATGGTTTGTTTCAACATATTATTTAGCCTAAGTTAGCATTTATTATATGAGAAACAAATAATGTAGGCATAGTACATATATTTTTACTAAGGGGTGTTCTAAAAATCACTATAGTTCTGATTTTGCACAGAGCGCGCTGAAACTGTGCTCCACCATTTCCTAAAAAAACAACAGAATTTCTAAAACAATAGCACAATTGATACGGCACTATTTCATTTAAATCACATTTTTTTTTAATTTTATTTTTTAAAGAGGCCATACCAAATTTTAATAATCACTAGTGTACATGTTGCTCGAAATCGAGCAATTGCAAAGAAGTACAGGAGTTATTCATAAACAAATTACTTGTTTAAAAACTAATAACAGTCATAATTTCCGATGATTTTAAAAGAGTATCAACTAAAAGATTATTAACTAATGGAAATACTCACAATTTACATAACAGTCCTATTCCAGTCTGTCACTGTTACTTGGTTGAAACCATTGACTTTATATCTCTTTGAAACGTGGAGCATTCGTCAGAAATAGTAATTTATATCAGCGCAACCTGATAGCTTAATTTATATACGTCCATTTAGGTTAAAAACACGAAGATGGAATACCTAGTTGTATTAATCAAGGATATTTTCCTTAACAATAACAACATGTAAAAACTAAACAATAAATCACGTGTTATAGGAACTGCTCGCAAATGCCTAGGTATGACCGTCGGTGCCATGTTGAATAAGGGATGGAAAACTGTTGTCATGTGGGTCGGACCTCTCCCGCTTATTGTAGTGGGAGACATGGATGATCTACAGGTACGTAACTTCAGTTTTCAGCTTAAGGTTGTTTCAATCGTATCTCAACAGTTTACTATAGTTGGGTTGATTTGATATCACTAGCGTCTGGTCTTCGGTGGCCCTCAGAGATGTTGGCAGCCTTTCCCTCTCCCCTCCCACATGCCATCCCAATTAAAACATAGTTATGTAATGCCATGTTTATATTTCTGCTAAATAATTAAAACCAGGTCCAATTCAGGAGTTTTGTGAGTTCGATTTACAATTTTGCACCTTTTTATTACTATCTAGACTCTATGCATAGTAATCTGAAAATGATTTTCAATCTAAGTTCACGTTCTTTTAAGATCACAAGACCACATAATGGTTCTTAAGTCTTTCACAAATTTTATTAGAACTACAATATTTCCAATGATGATTCTGGCTTGTGTTCCTTTATGTCACAAAAATATTATCAGTAGTATGAGGATGGATGAATTAAATCCTTAAATAAATCACTAATATTTTACTTGATACCATTCTGTATGTTTGTATTATTGTTCAAGGTGACAAGACGTCCGGTGTTGAATATCGTAAAATCATGACAATAAATGGGAATATTAAAATTTTTGTTGATTTTCAGACAATATTCAACGGGGGCCAAAACACTGCAGACAAACCAGAGGAATACGACTATTTTGTTGCTGGACTCAAGTCTGAAGATGGGCCTTTAAGACAAAACTTACTTTCAGCAAGAGGTATTTAAACTCGTCAGCACTATAATCCAGTACTTTATCAACATATTATCCAGCAATTTATATTATGTACCCGACTAAAATCTTCATTTGTTAGCTATATGACGTAAACTATCACTAAGACACTAATCTATTAATACCTTATATAAAACTGTTAATCTCTTCTTTCCTTTTTAGGTACTGGACGATTGTATATTAAATGAGTTCATACTGCCGTGAATGATTCTGCATCTGCAAGCAACATGCTTTGTTGTGTATTGAGCTTATATCTTGGCAACCTCCTACTTCCTTTTATTCTTGGTTTTTTTCTCAACACTGTGTAAATGCTTTTTTACTGAGGGTTGCGATATTGGCCAAATGCAACATCCATGCAAAACTTTTACTTTAAATATAACTTGCAATACACTGGCACTATTTAGATTTATTCTATGATTTCTTATATCTTCATACATCTTTAGTGAATTTATTTTAGATTGCATTTTCAACTAACCCAAGTTTATTTAATTTTGTAAACGTCTTGACATTTAATTCACTTGATATTTATAGGTTTCTTCAAAATCTTGTTCTCAGCTCGTGTGCATCGCAGGGAAAATCTACGAGTACTATTAAAAAGATATTTTCCTCTAGATGTACATGATCCCTTTACAAATCAAAACAGGCTACACAATAAGCAAAAAAATCAATTTAAATTTTAAAAAAACCTGGGTGTTATGGGTTGCTATGCTGGTGACGAAATATATAAACATCTATCTATTATAATATTAATACTTATTTAATACGCAAGCAGATGTTTTGTGACAATTACTCCTCCAAAAGTACCGAACCGATTGTCATGTTTTTTGTGTCATTGGAAAGAGCGTAACGTGAAGTTGTGCAGGAAACTTTCTTTTTAGGGAAATAATGAGAGAGTGAGGCCCTGGAGCCCTTAAAGTTTCGTGTTTCTCCATAAGATTAACATTGGAAACAAAAATTGTTATGAAACTCCAGCTGTTGTCAGAAATCAAAAGTGAGAGGATGAGAATGTTAAATAGTCAATAAGTTTGCTAATTTAACAGTTTGCTACAATCATTTGTTGACTTGGTTGAAATTCGTTTTAAAATAACGCCTGTAATACCATTGACTATATATTATAGTCAATGGTAATACTTAGCAATTGCAACGGATTCGAGCAACAGGGACACTAGTAAAATATAAATAAATGATATTCATTCCAATCACATGTTTTATTTACAGCGTGAAGTGAAAATAGAGAAGTCTGTACATTACATATTATTGGTCGAGTTTTCGACCACTGGACGACCTCTAGTTCAACTTTACTTCAACCACTAATCGTGGAGTTATATCACTATATGATTTTGCAGGTCAGACTTGGAAGCTCACCAGGAAGCACCTGAACCCGATGTTTCATCCTCAGAATGTTCAACACATGATATCCGTGTTCAACATGAACAGCAGGGAGCTTGTTGAACGCATGAATGAACACGTTGGACTAAAGTCGTTCGATGTTATGCATTACACAATGGATCTTGCTTTGAAAACCATTTGTAGTGAGTGTGACTCTAATATTCATACAAACATTTTGCAATTATTACCTAGAGTTAATGTGTTTCAAATGTGTCACAGAAACCAACGTAGAGTGAGGATTGAGATTCAAATTTAAAAATTCAGTGAAAAGCTATATTCATGAAACTATACATATAATATAATATGTATTATATGTATATGTTATATGTATTATTATTAACTGGTTTATTCCATATAGACTGACTCCATGTAGACAGAGTCGAAGGTAATCCACCACATCCAGAGTTATCACTTATGTATCAACCCGTATGATTAGTTCACCCTTTATTATTATATTTTTATTATATTATTATACTATTTATTTATTATATTATTATTATTTTATATTATTTTATTATTATATATTATTATTATTATTATATTATTATATTTTTTATTATATTATATTTTGTCTATAGCTCAGTTAAAAGGGATATGATTCAACAATCTAAAGATTTCCTGGAGGCGTAGTACTACTCTGCTGTAGTTATATTAAGTTACCAAGAACATTGTTTGATAGAGTCCAAGTAACTTAAACCTTTTTTTTCTTTTAGATATACTACTTAGATGCGTTTTTCAAAGGAACTAACATTTGAAAACGTCGATGTAACATCTAGGGCTAAAACAACACAATCTTATTGAGCTCAGTTTCCCATATAAACTTCGCTAAACTAAAATGTAGTATTAACTCTTCCCTTCTCAAGAAGTTTACCGCACCCACATCATTCGTGTACCATTTTTTTAGTTCGTAGTCATTATTCAGTATTCGATTCTATTAGACTACTTAAGAAGAACTCTTTGTTTTAGATCTAATCTATGGCCCCGACATTCCTATTGATGTTCACTCTGAATCTTTTAAGGGTCTTATGAAAGTAGTTGAACGGTAAGCATAACACACATATTTGTTTACCTTATACTGTAATGTAATAAGAAGCAAACGTAACAAGTAGCCGATTGTTTCGGAAATAATTGGTTTCAAAATTGGTAAAATTATTTACAACATTCCGAAATGCTTCGTTTTCATCATTTTAAGATTCATAGTAACGATAAATTATAAAAATTCAAAAAGTGAAGTATACAAAAAAGGAATGAAATAGTAGATAGAGATTATTATAGAGTTTATTTTGTCAAAAGAATACTTATTGGCCAGGGCCACTGACGTCCTTGTCAAAACTACTACTGCAATTGTTCAATTGTTTGAGTATTTTATTTTGCTTTGTTCACAAGGTTTTTTACAATGATCTATGCTTTGGAAACTAAGATACAAACCTAAGGGTCCAGGGAGGCCGTTAGTAAACTGTTACTAACAATATTTTATACAATTTGTTTCAGTATTCCAGAGTTATTTGTAAAACGACTCTTAAAACCCTGGCTAAGAATAGAATGGATATTCCAGTGGTTGTACAAAACCCAAATAAATCGGATGCAAAACTCTTGGAGAAATTTCACAGAGCCTCTACTTAAGGTAGAAATTTAAAATTAATTGATTAATTAATTAAGTGGCATTAGTCTGCAATCACTTGTGGCAATTTGCCACTGCTTTGGTGGGCGTGAAAGTTACCATATTTTAAAATAAACACTACCACTAATTTTTACTGAAATGTGAATTTGTTGCTATTAACACATTTGTTAGTGTTCAACCAAAATATTTACGTCTATTTGTACTAACTACTTTATCGAACTTCAATCTGCATCTAATGTATCGTTTATCTAGATTGCTAAAGAAAAGAAATTACAGAAGACGAAAAAATACAAAGGAGCTGATAATACATCAAACGAAAGTGAAGGTAAATACAGAATGCATATTTTTACTAAAATGTAGTTTTTGTTTATTAGACTGCTTTTAAACATCGTCTTCGTCTTTTTTATGCTTAATTGATTATCATGACTGAAAAATAATCCACAGTAAATGGGATTCATCAGAACTTAATATTTGACTGTAGCATTAAGTAATCTCTCAATGAACATTGTCTGGGTAGCCGAGTGGCCAGTGCTCGCCTTCAAATCTGAAGGTCACTGGTTCCATTCCAAACTAGATCGTTTACAGACCTAGATGCCATTTGTCATTGGGCTATGAATTGCTACCTATAGGTTGACGTAAGGTAGTAACATGACCATGGCTTTGATCGTTCACTTACAAAACGTAAAAAATGCCATTTGCTTAAATAACACAAACAAACACAAAAATACCGTTACAATGTATTTAACAGTTTAGTTAATTTACAAGTATATAAACAGCCAAAAATAATAGCCATTATGTCAACACAGTTTGGACATTCAAGTTGATGTAGAAGAACCTACATCCTCCAAAATTACTTTTTACCTTCCCCGTTGAAGCAAACCTAAACCTCAAACGGGAAAAACATATGTCTTGTTATGGAAATATTTTAGGAAAAAACCAACTATCCAATACTATTCATATAACTGTCCAATACCATAACTATCCAATATTAAAAGAGGGGTTTGAAAAATAATAGCTTGGAAGAGTAGGATTTTATTGCTATTTCTTAGCTAAATTATTTCAACGTGTTTCAACTTTCACAGAACTACTAGACATGTTAGATGCCTACTCAGTTCTTCAGCAAAAACACCCAGAATTCTCTGAAGCTGATATGCTGTGTGAGATGCTCACGTTGTATTGTACAGTAAGTGCATTCATTGACTTAAGATACTGCTATAATTATATTGGTGGGATGTCTCCTACTAAAACTTAATCCCCGAAGTACTGAGACCATTCTTAGCAAACTTTGGTTTAGCAGTAAAATAAATTATTTAATTATATTACTGTATATTTATTTTATGTAAATTAGAATTCTAACATAAATTTTCCAATCAGTTTTTTCAAACTGTCAAACCAATGTTTATGTAAGTATAGGCTATTTATCTCCAATTATAAAAGAGTGATTTTTACAATCTGCTGTAAAATAAATTAATGAAAATTACAAGGTTAACATGTCCATCATAATAAATATAAATTCCACTAAACCTTAAATAATAAAAAACTAAATTAGTTGTTGATAAAACGTGAGTTTCCTTTATATTGCGTTTAAAATAGAAATAAACTACACCGAGCCATGGCTCGGTCCCCAGGTACTGTTATTTAAATTGGGAATAAATATATCTTGTTTATGGAAATATTTTGGTGAAAATCCAATCAGACAAATCGAAATTCTTTTAGTCCATTACAGTTTGCTGTGGCGAGGATAACCTTTTTTCGCCGTGGTGTGTTCGTTTCTATTGATTAAATTAGGGTCAGTAATAAAGGTATTTGTTGGATATTAGGTTAAAATAGGGCTTGACATTATAAAATACAATTATCAAATTGTATGTTTTTAGGTGGGGAGAGATTTGTAAAACAGAGATATGTTCCTTTTCCTAAAAAGCAAATCAAGATTTGTTGCTCTATAGGAATGCTCTGCTTACCCATTAGGTCATGGGAATCTCTCAATGCAGAAAACATAAAATAAAAACATTTTTGATTATTCTTCAACATCGTCAGAACAAGTGGTTGCAACTAAATCGTCCACAAAATAATAAAATGGAACTAATTTTAATCTGGTTCACTTCGACATTTAAATAAAATAGCTTAAAGCTAGGTTTAGTGATGTTTCAAATTCAATAAGCTTATTTTGTAACAATTTCAGGGTACAGACACTGTTGGCTCGACTACCGCATCGTGCATGTTGGCTTTAGCACAATTCCCTCATATTCAGGTACATAAGTTTACATTAGTGATAAAATAATCATTTTATTTGTGTAAAGGTACGGAAGGCAAACGAACACTATATAAATGATATACTTTAATACTCAAAGGAATTTTGTACAAATAAGATGTTTAAATTAATTCTACGAATAAAGGATTGAATCTAATTAACAATACTGAATAGAACTTTTGGTTTGCTACAATGGTTTACACCATTGACTATTGATACTGAATAGTTGTATCAATAGTCAAAGCTTACATATTTCATAAGTTAATTTCAATCTCTCTAAATGGCCAGGATTCTACAAAGGAGGATGTTTTAACTTTAATTACTTGCGAGGAAAGCATTTCTATGATATCAGTTCCGGTTATATTGGATTGTATATACTTGTGGCCTGTGGGCAAAATATGTTTCATAGAGAATTCCAGTCTTTAGCTCAAATAGTTGATTAGGATACGAATTTTTGAAATATAGAAAGTGCATATTCTTTTCAAGTGAGTTCTACTATTGTGAACGAAATCAACCTCATATTAAGCGACCTAAAATCATCCGTATCTTGACTACCAATGCTTATCAATGAAAATAATTTAGAAGTCTAAAAATGAGGCGATCTGTTTTTTTTTCAATATCACATTTACTCCGGGCAGGTTGCTCCACATGGAACCTTTAAAGAATACTCAAATACAGTATCTCAAACCACTATTCCAATTAACCATCCCCTTATTTTTTTATGACTGTCGAGTTTCATAAAAAATAAATAACTTAAACAATCGTTAATAATTACTGATCTTACCAGATATAATTTAGCATTACCCTCCAAAAATTTGATTGCTAATTAATAACTACTGTATCAGAAAGAATGTTACTATTGTCTCCCAAGATGCATTATGGAATAAAAGTTCAAATAATTTTTTAAAGCCGATCTGAATTCATAGTCACCACTGATATTAGTAGATGTAGTAAGGTTTGAATTAAACACGTTAAAAATATTTTTCAGGATAGATTGTACAACGAGATCATCTCCATTGTAGGATTAAACGACGACATAACTTTGGAGGACCTTTCCAGGATGCCTTATCTGGATCAAGTTATTAAAGAAACAATGCGCAAGTTTCTTATTGTCCCGTTCGTGTTGCGTAAAATGTCAAAAGACGTGGAACTGAGTAAGTATGTGTGTGACTTAGAGTAAATTCTGCTGTTTGAAACAAAAGCAAAATTGCTTTTGAAGTACAATTCAATTTAAGGTTATGGAATACTTGGCTATTTATAGTTTAAAATATCCATCGTTATATTAAAATTAATGAATAATATAGTGGGTATTGCTTATTTTTTATCATGCCTTTTACGTGGTACTAAAACGAAAATTTTTTTACAAAAATAAACTAAAGAATTCTTGTTTTATTTTAAGAAGTTGCAAAGCATGAGAAACTTTTCTGAAGGTTCTCAATCAATTAAATAAGAAACCTCCACACAGCCAATGCCTTTGGAGGTCCGTTAAGTTTCTTGAAAGAATATACAGAAATTATTTTAAATACAGGTTTCCAAGGCTAGTAGTGTATTGATAGTCAATAGCTGACTATTATACATACAGTTCATCTAAATATGTTTAAACAAGTTTATTTCAATTTATTTCCAGAAACTTGCACTCTTCCAGCGGGCAGCGTGATTTGCTGTAACCTAGCAAACATCCATATGGATCCCAAAGTGTATCCGAATCCAGATGAGTTCGATCCAGACAGGTTTTCTCCGGAAAATTCTTGTGGAAAAGAAAAATTCTCTTTTATTCCATTTAGTGGCGGACCGCGAATGTGTATTGGTAAATGTATATTATAATCTATAAAGTATACTGTATATCTTTAAAACAATGTGAGTGTTGCTAGCCTAGTGGTTAGCGTCTTGGACTTTGCTGCATGAGGGATGGGTTCCCTTCCTGGCACATCCACAAAACTTTAATCGCCTTGGACTACTTTGCCTGAAAGTGTATTTCCTACTGAAATTCTCTTGTAAAACTTACACCGGCGTAGATATCTAGAAAAATATAAAAAAATCGAATAATCAAAATCCCTTTATTTTTTAGCGCTTCTTTGTAAAAAAAAAAAACAGGTTAACATAATTACTCATTTAACACGTTCGCTACTGCAATAGTACGAAATTTTCCATTCACATGGACCAGCGACGCACATATGCGACGGCCGGTTTCCACCCATAGACTGCCGTCGCATATATGCGACGGCTAGTCACATTAAAATAGACTGCCGACGCATATTTGCGTCGGGGTTCTAATGTTATGAAAATGCTTATATCTTTGTAGTGGTCTATTTGAAGGCACTGAATTCCCTGCAGTGGTCTACAGAGATGTCTGACGCACAACTGCGTCGCTTGGTCTGTGGATATAATGATTGGTGACGTCATATAATAGTAGGAAAAACTGGTCTTTACTTTTATGCATCACTGTATGTATGTATGCGGTATGTATGCTGCATTATCCTATGTAGCTTTTATATTTGTTCAGTTATAAACTGTTCTTGAATAATCTGGTTTTTTTACTTACTTTCAACTTAAAACACAAAAAATGAGCCGCCGCATATATGCGACGTTTAGTCTATTTCAAGAAAACTATGATAATTTTCACTATTGTTTTCGCTGTAGACCGGGCGTCGCAAATATGCGACATTACAAAAGGTTATAAAAAATCAAAAAAAAGAACAATTTATTTAAAAACACTATTGTAGCGTATTACAATGGAAATGATCACTGTTTTACAGGTTTTCGCCCGTGGTCTGTGTGTACTTATCCAAGTGACAGCCGGTCTATGTGTAAGATTGAAATGTATACCTCGGTCTGTGGCAATGACCGAGGCGTCGCATATATGCGACGCTCAGTAGCGAACGTGTTAAAAAACAGAAAACAATTTTTGAGCAAACACAAATCATATAGACATATTATATACATGGCCAATTATACAGGGTGGCCATTAAGTCTTAGGACGACCTTATAACTTTTAAACGACAAACTATATCACAACCACATTTGGTATATCGTTACTGGAAATTGTAAGCTACTTTTCTGTGTACATGGTGGTCGGATATCACCTTTGGGGGACGGCCCGTCGGGGGTCAGAAGAAAATCTTTAATGACAGCCTATGTTGAGTTGTACATCATTTTAAAGGTCTACGTCAACCGAAAACAATGCCGCAAACCACACTTCAAAAGGTTGATCCTGCGCAAAATGGCGAAATGGCGAATCCGGCGAATGGCGGATTTTAAAAATTAGCCAATTTCTTTAAATTAAAACACTTTTTTAAATCTTTAAACAACTGTCATTTTTTAACGGATGGTCCTTTTGAAGTACGGTTTGCGGCATTGTATTCTACTAATAAATACCTTTAATTTGATGTGCATATCAACCTATGCTTCCATTCAAGATTTACTTCCGACTCCTTGTGGACCGTCGCCCTGAAGAGCTATTTGGATCACTTAATGTGAAGTTATGGGAATCATTTTAAAGGGAATTTTAAGCAAAGAAGAATGCCGCAAACCATACTTCAAAAGGACCATCCGTTAAAAAATGACAGTTGTTTAAAGATTTAAAAAAGTGGTTTAATTTAAAGAAATTGGCTAATTTTAAAAATCTTTGAACATCTGCCATTTTGCGCAGGATCAACCTTTTGAAGTGCGGTTTGCGGCATTGTTTTCAGTTGAAGTAGACCTTTAAAATGATGTACAATTCAACATAGGCTGTCATTAAAGATTTTCTTCTGACCCCCGACGGGCCATCCCCTAAAGGTGATATCCGACCACCATGTACACAGAAAAGTAGCTTACAATTTCCAGTAACGATATACCAAATGTGGTTGTGATATCGTTTGTCGTTTAAAAGTTATAAGGTCGTCCTAAGACTTAATGGTCACCCTGTATAAAAACAACTTTAAGGAACGTAAATTAAAAGCATTTGATATAAAATTATTTATCTATTTGTAGCTAATATCTTTGCATTCAAATATCTGTTACAGCGAAGAACTATGCCATGAATCTAATGAAGATCCAGATCGCTCATGTGCTGAGAAACTTTCGATTGTCAACAAGTCAAAGTATCGACAAAATGAAGAGGAAACTGATTGTAACTTTAGTGAGTACGGAGGGATATAACATCAGAGTTGAGAAGAGATTTGAGAACAGAACTGGGTTCCATCGTGATTGAATGACTTCTGGCTTTACACAGTGTTTAAAAACGTAGTGTTTTTTGCTTGAAATGAGATAGAAAATTACTTATTTACCACCACAATGGAATAAATTAATTTCAAATGCAAAATTCCTCATAACTGTTATCAATTCATGTTACTTGATCTTGTCTATGAATCGCCGCACGATGAGTGTTGTACATATGTAAATAAAAAAATAATAGTTATTATGTGTGTGGTAGATAGCTATGATGAATGTAATAAAAATATTATCTATGGTTTTGATGATGACACGTTAATACCAGAACTTTGGTAGATATTAGATTCACACGAGAAATGATAACAGTGAATACATTCAGTGTGTAGCCACAGAGAAGCACTTCTCTGTGGTGTAGCCATTTTAAAGGAAATCCATGGAGTAAAACTAAAACATAAAATAAAACTGTATTCTTAAGTGTTTCCAATTAAAGTCTTGTTGTTGATATAATGCTCAAGCTAAACATATGTAGGTATCAACTCCTTTCAACACAACAACATAAACCTGAACAAATCTAACACAAAAAAAATTATGTATATGTTTCATGTGACAGCCTTGGATATTACCTCAACTATGTAGACATTCCATCCCCATGTTCATGTTGTCACATGTTTTAAATCAAAATTGTCGTAGTTGATGTGAGCCACCGTCAGAATGTGCTGATATGAATTAATAATTTCTGTTGAATTCATGAAGTTTTTTAGTCAAAGTATTGGAATGTTTTATTGTGAGCTATAGCAACTTTCATGGCTCACGAACTTGGTCCGCAACAAAAAAATAAAGGAGAAAACATAATTTTGGACCCTAGCGCATTCTGTGACTGGCTCACATAGCTATGTTATTTTTTAATAAAACATTGGTGACAGCTGGTTCATAAACTGAAATTCAACCACTAGGAGGTCACGAATTGTGGATATTTATAGGCATGCACTGTGGATGCGATGCTCCCTGGTGTGGGTTTAACGTCCGCAATAGTGAGTACTTCGACTATCTGCAGTACTATCTTGATAATTAGACCAATTCGTTAATTACAAAGAAAAATGTGGTTCGGATTCCACTATAACCTGTAAGGCCCTTAGTTGCCATTGGCTGTATGGGTTATGCCTACTAATTAACAGCTGTGTCTAAGGAACATGTCGGCCTCGGTCACTTACAAGACTACAAGATCGCGCCACTCATCTTACTCATATTTGGGTTAAAATACGCGCATAGTGGCGTCCCCATCTTAAATAATTGATAATTATTGATATTGATGGGATATCTACAACAGTATTCAATAGTCAATGATATTACTAGTATGATAATGCAACTGTGGTTTCTTCTATAAGATGTGCAGTATCAAATATTTTAGTAATATAAATTAAATAAAAACCAAGACTGTCATGAAAGCAACAACATTACGTTAAATGTCCTGTCCATACAGTAGTTTGCATACCTACCAATAACAATTTCCAATTATCATTTACGAGATAGTCATGTTTGTTGTTGTACCCTTTCATGAAATGTCTATTATTATTATTACTACAATATTATTATTATTGAAATAACAGTGGCCTATGTTCTCAAAGTTAGTAGTTAATTAATTATATAGGAAATGTAATGATTCATTTAGAGTTTTTCAATCAATTGTAGATACCTCAGTATGTTTGGTTTATATAATTGCTACTAAAAATAATATTTCTTGATTTATTCTTCATTTGATTCTTAAATCAATTGTTCCTGTAAATTAAGTCTGTTTCAAAATCAGTTTTTACCATTGTAATAGTAATATTATATAGGAATTGACAAGAATGTTTTTCAATAGTTTCCATTATACTCCTTATATTTATGGTCCTAATATCTATTTTCCTTATATATATGACCTCATAGTAGTTAATTATTTATATTGTGCATACTATAATAAATGTTTGTTATTCAATTTTACAATGATTCCCCCATGACTTTATTATTATGTTTTCAGTAGAAGTCTTTCTTAATGTTTTTAAATAAAAAGTTTGCTGTTCATTTTATTTATTAAAAAATATTCAACTTTCAATTCCATTTTAGTAAAAACTTGTGCTTAAAAATTATAGAAGTGAATAATTGAGAACATTTTAATCAACACAACATTGCGGGTATAAATATTCGAGTGAAATCAGAACCTAGAGTTCTTCTCTATCATTGTTTTGATAATTTTTCATCCTGCTTGAATCTTTAACTCATATGATATTTTTTACAAGTTGCTATTATGCAAAAACTTGTATAAATCTAGAACATTTTGCTTAAGGCTGTTGGTACAGGTATACATAATACAACAAAATATTCTCCATCTTAAAATAAAATACACGTTTTAATTTCCCTAGTTCGACAGTTGACATACTACAAATTGTTACTAACAAACGTCTTAATAAATAAAAAATATATAAATATATATATTGATACTATTTTATTTAGTTTTTTTTATTTGTGCATTTTTTATTGAATTGTTGAGAATATAAAATTGTCAAACATTGAGCTAAGAAGATTTTCTTATTGTTATGATTTTACGCAATTAAACAGATTGTATAAATAAAGCGGTAGAGCAACCTTTACAATCCAAGTTTCAACAAATAATAAATTGCCGAATAAAATAAAATAACATTTAATTACGACAGTGTGAACAGTAATGAATAACATTTTGCACTCTCAGAAAATATATAATAGGGTTGTGATCAGATTTAGCTACGCCTCTGTAGAAATTACTGTAATACAAAATGCATGACATGACCTCATAATTGAGTTTGTAACTAACAAGCATTTAAATGTGAAAGTAAAACTCGTCCATCAATTATTTGTCTAATATTGCTGCAACCATCAATTTACTTCCTAACGTGTTTGTTTTGGTACAAAACACTGGCGGGACAGTTTAAAACGCGTAAAGTAAGAACCAAATTATAAAATAAATACTGAAATAACAAACAATTACAAAGTCTAGAGATCTGAGAAACAATAACACACAACAAACAAAACAATAACATTCTTCAAATCCTATAAATTGATATATCTGAACTATTACGGTATTAATATTAAATACACTTAATACAGCACTCCAAGTTATCTAGACATATTTTTAATGTGTATTTTTTATGTTGAAGACGTTTGAGTGTGCTTATGTTGAATAAATTATTTATTATCGTCGAATTCACTTTTTTGTTTTATGGTGTTCCTTTTTTGATTGATTCTTATACTTTCTAATCCATACTATTATCAAATTGAGGTAGTGTATGTCTGTCTGTTCGTCCGTGCGGCTGCCACGACAAAAATACTAAACCGATACAGACCAAATTAAGCACAAAGATGGTCCACTACCTAGGAATGTCATAGGCCTAATTCACTTCCCTGAGTTCTTCGCGAGCTACGCCCCTTGGATATCCAAAGCTTTGAGGTGAGGTTTTCAAAAGTAAATATTAATTGGTCTCCATGGAAGCATGAGAAAATTCACAAAATTTGTTTTAATTTGCGTTAACAATTTAATGTAAACAGTAAAAACTGTTGTTAAAATGCTTATTTCACAATTTCAGACAGCTGGTCCAAACAAATTGAATACAATATTTTACCCAACAGAACTAATGTGCTAGTTATTTATGTCATTGATTATGGAAAATTATGTAATATATTTAAAAGTAAACATTAGGACAATTTCAATGTAGGTCATACATATTTGTTTTAATTTGGGGGCTCTTTGTTTATAAATTTGAATTACTTAACAAATTCTTGGATTAGGTGGTGTAGTATATCTTCCCGTTGCGACGCACAGAGATAGTTTTACTTGGTCAAATAGATTTGAAGTTGGTTGATTATAAAAAAAATAATTGAAACAGCAGAACAACCACAACATAACCCGGTTATAACTTAAAAACTATCCTAAGCTAATCTATAAGGATGATAAACATCTATGTAGTATGTATCTATGCTATAACCTACTAGGTTAATGAAGAATCTTCTCCGTCTTCATTATACCTTATTCTGAGGATGATTAAATGTACAATTGTTTGTAAATCATTTTATCAGAGTAGTAATAAGTTTTAATTGCCAAAAATATGCTCTAGAAACAATTATAGAGATATAGTAGAGGTATCTAATATTTTCCTTCTTAAAACGAGCCCTGAAACTAACTACCTATCTAATCAATAAGCGATCCACCTTGAATGGATGAAGTGGCTAGTAAGGAAACGTTCTACGATTCTACACAGACTACGGTAATTGCCAGGTGATTAAAATTTGATAATTGGCGAGAAAATTGCATCTGAGTGACCCAGCACTAAGCACACCGGCTTACAAGGTTACGGTCCAGTCCAGTCCGTCCTTACTCATACAGGAGGCGGAGTTGGTGGTGAGTAGTTGAGCATAGTTTGATATACAGTAGTAGTATATAGGTCAGACCTGGGCCCGGGACCGATTTACTTGTTCGTTTTGAGGCTCCCAGAGGCCAAAAATTAGAGTTAAGTTAAAATAATTGTACGCTGATGGTTGATTATTGTTGTATATTGGTTTGTTTCTGTTTTGTTATTGTTCTATTTATTTATTTGTTAGTTTAAGTATTGTTATTGATGAAAGTTGTTCTGAAAATCAGTTGTACTGGAATACATTTTTATTTAATTAATTAATTCCTCTTCATAGATATGAGAGTTTGTCACATTATAGATCACGTGAAAATTACTGAGTTAATAATGATGCTTAAAATTTACAGTAGTAGAGGCAGATAGATTTACAGTAGTAGGAGATGGACTTAGGCCTAATTTATTTTGAAACTCTTCTAGGGCTATGCCTCACTGGCTTCCAAAGTTGCCACGGTATTTTAACATTTTTAATTGTAGAATTTCCGTATGAGTGTTTGAACCAGGTGTTTAAACTGTGTTTGTTGATGTTTGTTTTACTTACATTTTGGAAATTTATGAGTTTAAATAACTCATAAATTTCCAAAATGTAAGTAAAATAATATGTTTGGTTAAAACAATGTAGTAAACTTTTGTAGAATTCTTGCCTATAGTTTTCCGCGAAATTTTTATGAGCTAAGAGATAAAAAAATAAAAAATAAATGGGTAAAACACTTTTGTTTTATGAAGCATCAAGTAGAACTAATTGATTTCATCGTTACACTAAGCTACGTTGTTGGATTCTTTGGGATGTATTGACCTAAAATGTAAGGAGGGGTTTAAAATAATTGATGTACACACAATTTCACCTTGGTTTGCGATGCACCAGGAATTCTTTAACATCTTTCAGGAAAAAGACTCAGCTTAGGCCTTTGGGAGCTTCTTTTACATTAAAAAGTAGTGCCCATTGAGAAGAGGCCGGGGCTCGGTGAGGTTTTTGGTACTTTAAGGGCTCATCTCTGCTATATTGGTTCAATTGGGGCCAATGTAAAAAATATCAAGTTTAAAAAAATGTGGAAACCAAAATTTCAGAAACTTGATGTCCCAACAATTGACATACAATTTTTTTAACATTTGAAATGCTACATTTTAGTTTATACTTTGCCACATCCATTGTTATAGACTATAAAACATTTTTATATCAACATTTGATTTTAAAATAACAACGAAAGTTATTACTGATCCTGAACTGATAGATATAACTTAGATATGTATCCACAAGTAAAATAGCCTTAGTAAAAGAGTGATTTAATTATCTTTAATCAGTTTTCTATTCGTCATTAGTTCTGCATTCTCAGCATAAATTAGATGATAATGGCGTTAGCAATTACTATATACAATTACTATAGCATCTCCGGCCTATAATTGTGTAATTGTTTTCGTTATGTACTATTAATATTTACACGTAATCTTTGAGTGAGGCAGGTAGAGTTGCTACTGTTAACACATGAGGCAAGGTATGTGATTATTTGTTGAATACGCTGTTAGGAGTAAAGTTTCAAGTGGATTTATCGACGCCTTTCTGATTTTATTCGTCCTAATTGGGCATGGCTTTTCTTAAATCCTCGTAGAATAAAGGCATTATTAAAAAAACGCGTAGGTACTATGAAGTCAATAACAATTTGCGAACCCCTTTAACTATACTATTATAATAGTACATACTAGTATAGTTTCAATTGCATTATAATACTATTATGAAATATAGCTACGATACTAGTAATAGTATATACTAGTATAGTTTCAATTGCATTATAATACTATTATGAAATATAGCTACTATACTAGGGAATAGTTTAGACCTATTTCCGATTCTGTAGTGATCGAGTGTTTTGCACTATTGTCTTTCAAAGTTCTGAGAAGAGGCTTTAAAAAGTAAATACCGATTTGTATCCATGGCTATAATTCTAAAAACTACTGTGTTTAGCTTTGTATTGACTTCTCAATGTAAGCTAAAAGAATAGTAAAATTAATTTTATTTTCCAATGCGACAAAGCTGACTTAGAACAAATAGAATATGGTATTTTGCTCAACCATTTTGCAAGATTATTAATTTTAACATTTTGGTTGTTTTATATATATGTTGCTAAATATAGATTTTTTTTTCAAAGAAATAAACTTCATTCACATTTTCCAAATTCAATTTAAATTTAAGATGCAAATTTATTCTATGAACCACTTTGAATACTGAAACTAATAAAGAGTCTGCACCCTGCATACTCTTGTAAACTATTAAGATTTTTTCACCTACATTTTGTCGTTGGTTATGCTTGAGTGCCCTGATAATATTTTACAATGTATTTAATTTTATTTCAAATTAACTAAAAATACACCTTAATACATTTTGATAAATTCAGTATGCTTTTTGCTACAAAGCTGCAAAGCTAAGTTGGACCAAAAAGAATATCGTAAAACTAAGTTGTATGCAGTTTATTCTTGTTTCTTGTTTGGCTAAAGTATAACAAGTTTTTTTGTAATGGCAAGTCTGTAAATGCAAATGTATTGAACTAATATGTCTTGATAACAGTAGTGACAGTAGTGAGTCAGACGTCGTGCGGGACAGATGCTAGTGCGGAGTCTATCTTTAGTTATCTCTTCTCGATAATGTTATAGTTGGTTATTTAATTCAATTATACAGGGTGAATTACAATATTATTATTACAATTAATGAATATAAAGTTTTCTACGCTGATACACTTCAGTGTTTTTCCGTTTCATTGAAAATATGTCAGATGTCAGAAAACTGTGTAGTGTGTAACATCAAATTGCAGCGACGTAATCTAGTTATTGCGTGTTCTGAGTGTGGTAAAAGTTGTAATCTTAAATGTGTTATGACGGAGGAAGAACTTGATTTTATTTCAAGTGAACAGATATGGCGATGCCCACTATTTGCAAAAATTATAAGACAAAGTCTCGACGATAATCTTATCTTGACTGGTGATGTCAAAATTTGTATCCTTAAATATTCTTTACAAGTTTTTGAATACCAGTCTCTGACGGTTGGTTACAGATTTAATTAACGTATTAATACACCTACTAGGGTTGTTTTATAACGCAAAAGTTGTCTAGTTAAGAATTAAATTTGATTTTATATCCAAATAAAGTTTATTTTTATATTGTTCCTCTAGGACCATTATTCCTAGAGAACATACCATTGTTCCTCCGTAGTGACCATAACATCTCTCTTGTTATTCGGTTTTAAACAAAGTTAAAGTAAAATAAATGGGGCTAGTAATTTAAATATACCTGTAGAAAAAGTCATAAATTAATTATGAAATACTAACAATTAATCTTGAATTGTTTGACAGGTCAGTGTCATCGATAGTAAAGTCAATTTGACGTGCAGTAGTGGTGTCATATATTGGATTGAAATATTTTCCCTGTTATTAGGCCTAGATAAGTAGTTGATGTTCGTTATGACGTCTCTAGGATTTACAGTACCTCGCCTTTCTTTTACATATATACAGTAGTTTTTTTTAAAATTAGAATTATAACATTGACAATGTAATAGCGTTTTGTAACAATGCAGTGAAACACAGTTAGCATATCAGGTGGTTAACGTTCATATTAACAAGTTTTGGAGTAATCAGATACCCTCAGCATTCAATATGTTTTGTGACTATAAATTACATTTTGTACAGTACAATGTTTTTGCAAGGAATCAGTACGTTCAACATCTGCACCATATAACACGTTATTCGCTGAAATTTATGGTCATTTTGCAGGTTCTGAGGTGTAAAGATGTTAGCAGCGCTACTCAATGTGTTGACCACATTGCTGATCTATTCGTCACTGTTACTTGGAGCATGCTGGGTCTGGTTCCAATGGAGTCACCGTGACTTACTCAGAGCTGCCAAGAAAATACCAGTGTCATATCCAACGATTCCAATCCTGGGTCACGCTTATATCTCTCTATTCAGTCCAGAAGGTATGTAGTCTACACATGCTATTTTATTTAGTTACTATTACCAATTTTACCTACATTCATGTTTGTTGTGTGCACTCGTATTCTATTTTTACAAGAGGAAATTAAAAATATTGCAGATTTTACATGTCCAATACCCTCAATGCTGGTAGAAATCAACATATTTGCATGTTAGAAAGATTGATAAAACCAAGTGTGTAGAGATACATTCTAAAAATGTAAGACATGAACATTGGTAAAGGGCGCAAGGGACAGGCCACGGGTAATTCTGTTTGGTTTCTGTTTGATACATATTATGTCTGCAAAGTACTAGTCTTAAAATATATGTAAAGCCCTTTAAAATTCTCATCTTATCTTACATTATTAGGTATCGGTAATACCTACTGTCCGCAATTGCCTCTTTTAAATGTGTCCGCAATATTCCACGTCCGCAATTATCTGCTATGCCTAGCTAAAATGTTACCAAACTTCATATAAGTTGTTCACAATCTTCTAAGTTTTACAAAATTACTTGGTCCACTCTAAGAAATACCAGAGGTCGTCCAGTGGTCAAAAACTCGACCAAAAATATGTAATGTACAGACTTCTCTATTTTCACCACACGCTGTAAATAAAACATGTGATTTGAATTTATTCAATTTGTTTTGTTTTTCTGCTTGTATTGCGTTGTTATTTCGTCACCAGGATGGCAACTCGGCAACCCATAAGCCCCACGTTAATTTTTTTTTAATTTTAAATTAGTTTTGTGCTAACTGTTTTTTTGAGCCAATTTTAATTTATAAGGGATTCTGCACCTCTACTGGAAAACATCTTTTTAACAGTATGCGTAGATTTTCCCTGCGATGCACACAAGCTGAGAAATCTTTTTTCAAGAAACATGCTTCCCTATTAATATTTAGATATCCAAGTTAGTTTATTTATTTTTGAAGGAACAACGAAACTACTCTATACGTAAATTAACAGTTGCACAATATGGTATACTAACAATACATCTAGGTTGTGCTGCTAGTTTCTTTTTATTTTTGTTTCAGAAAAAAGCCGTAGGATTCTAAATTTGACTGTTGGTGCAATGATAAAACAAGGATGGAAGACTATTTGTTTCTGGGTCGGCCCACTTCCACTTATCGTCGTAGGAGACATGAATGATCTACAAGTGCGTAAGCTTTCAGTTTTGAGTTGCTGGTTATTGCATTCTAAATAATTTTAATAAGGACTCTAAACTTTGACTTAACAACTTTTGATTGACTGCTTCGGTACATATAATAATGTAAATTTACTTGTAAAAGGTTCGGAAGAAAGTATGGTTTCGAGACTGCTTGAAGTTATAGAGAGTATTTCTTATTCCTACAAAAGTTTGATACAGTGGCACCTTTAATCCTTTCATAAATCCCGTAATGTATTCTTTTCTCCAATCCAAATGCTTAGTACGAATTGTTTGTGAAATATTTGACTGATTAAATAATAAGTTATGTCATTGAGATTACTATCGAAAATGACAATTAATTGAAAATGATGATTATTATCGAATGATTATTAAGAAAATGTTGTCATAAAATTTTGGTAAAGTTTCTGAATTTTGGAACCAATTGCTCTAATATATTTTGATGAAAAACTCTAATTATAAAAAAGTAGACTGTGTTTTTGCACTAAATATAATTTTAGGGAAAATGCCCATTTGATACATTGTTTGTGTACAAAAATTCATTGACCTGCTTTAACACTCAATAAAAATACTCTAGTATAAAGAAAGATGTATGTTACCTTCGGACATAATTCAATTTAAATGGGATAAGTTCATTTTGTTGTTTTTAGTATCATTAAATTAATAAACTTTTCTTCATAAATTATTTTTGTTGTACCCTGGTTTAATTTTAGATTTTCACACTTGGCTTCCATTCTAGATAGATGGTTTTCACCAATGATGTGTTTTTAAGATGTTTTGAAGCAGGTAGTTTTTTGGACAAATCAACCCAGGACAACTCGGATGGATTTTTTAAAACTTTAAACTTTGGAAATTAAACTGCTTGCATTCACAGTGTCTAGATCGATTGTTAAAATATACTCTAAGCGATACATTTTATACAATAAAATTATATGTAACTGCATAATGACTTTTCAAATATTTAAATTGAACTAATACTAAAATCGTATTAGAACATAAAACTTTTATATTGAATAAAATAAATACAACATTATTCATGACTGGCTTGAATCAATAAATACTTGACATTTGTGATGGTTAAGTCAAAAACTAATATTTTTGTGAATTTTCCAGACACTTTTTAACGGACAAAACACTGCAGATAAGCCGGAAGAATACGACTATTTTGTAGGTGGACTCGAGTCTGGAGCTGGGCCGTTTGGGCAGCACATACTTTCAGCGAGAGGTATAAACTATGATATACTATGATTCCTTTTCCTACAGTATTCTAACACATTATTTGCAGCATTATTGACTTATAAATTTCTCCGTTTTAGTCTACACATACTTCAATCAAGAGAGCCACTTCAATGGTTAAGGTATTTGTAAGTTCGGCTACATTACACAGCAAAAACTTTTTTTGATTTATAGGATTCATTTATCATAATCATTTTTTAACTAGTTTGTTTTCATGTAAAATGTTGTTAACCAAATTATTGATGTTTTAACTACCGGCACTCTACGTTTCGGGAAGTAAGGAAACTCTTCCGTTTTTAAGTGACCCTGGTCCTGTATCCTAACCCCACAATTAGCTACCTAGTTAGCCTACCTTGTCAATTTCGTATACATCAACAACACAATTTCAATCATGACCTTTAAAATGCAACTAATTTAAAAAACAAAATTTTTAACGAAAATAGATAATCTAATTTATTGAAACCTAGCCTAGTTGGTTTAGAAGTTATTGTTCAAGGACGTAGAACAAGTGCATCCTTAACTAATTACTTTCTAGATTATTTCATCTACAATTTTTTTATACTGCCCAAAACAATATTTTAAACAGTACTAGATACTAATTATTACTATAATTATGGACTTTGATATTGAAAATATACTTCTCGTCCTATTGTAAAATACTAAGTCTTTTAATTTTTTTCATGGCCGATTACGTTTCGTGGGATGATTTTAATTAAAATTAAGTTGCTCTCGTTTTACCTGTGTCTTAGTCTTAGGTGTTGATACTAAGGGAAAGGCAATTATGTACATTTAAAAAAAAGTTTTAGTTTATTATATTCAAATGTTTTAAAAATTGGGCCTGAATTTAAATTGAACTCTACTTATACAGTATATTGGATAGAAAAATGAATGATATTGTTCTTGGGCGTAGAAATGACAGTTCTATAAGGCATTGTGGTTTCTCAATTCTGACTCAATTGTTTACTTAGAAACCCTAACTTGTTCTGCTGAGTTGTAGATTTAATAAACAACCCTACATTATCAACTTGAGCATTACTTTCACCATCAAAACTCAAACATTTGCATTTTAGGTCAAACTTGGAAGCTCACCAGAAAACACCTGAACCCTATGTTTCATCCTCAGAATGTTCAACACATGATATCCGTGTTCAACATGAACAGCAGGGAGCTTGTTGAACGCATGAATGAACACGTTGGACTAAAGTCGTTCGATGTTATGCATTACACAATGGATCTTGCTTTGAAAACCATTTGCAGTGAGTACTTTGCAGTACTTACATTATGGTGTTTATAGGTATTGTACATTTTCCTAGGATTTATAATGTTACAAGTTTTTAGATGGTTATTTACAGGCGTTTTTTTTTTAAATATGTATAAACCTCGCCAAATATCAATACAATGTTGCAATATGCCCTACTCTAATATAAGTTAAGCAAATTAGAAACGAGTGTAGTAATAGCTATTTACCTTACAAGTGTAGTAAGAGCGTTTTTACATCACGCAGGTGAATGTTGTGCAACGAGCGGAAGCGAGTTGCATAATTTACCGAAGTGATGTAAACACGCTCTTGCGTAACGTGTAACGTACAAGATTTTACCTGACCCGACAATATACAGGAGGTTACGAACAATATTTTTCATTATCCATTTCACTCATCTTCTAACAGTAACGTTTATTTACAAACAAAAGCTGGTTATGAAAATTCTTCAAAACATAACAATAAAATTCAAGCGCACAGCTGATTTCTAGCGTTAAACGTCGTTGGCTCCATAGAGCTATAATTTTTAAGTTAAGCACTCAATGTTATTTAAATGGGTTTCATTACATCACCGAGTGAGTTTTTTTCAACTTTACATCACTCGAGAAGTAACGAAGTTATATACATCACGCTTGGGATAGGGAAGTTTAACATGGCGGGTTAGGTAAAGTATCTTTATCAACTGTATTTTTATCTCATCAGAAGTTATCTCTTTGTTTCAGATCTTATATACGGTCCTCTCGTTCCAATCGATATTCATTCAAAACCTTTCAAGGGCCTTATGAAAATTGTTGAGGAGTAAGTATAAAACAATCAGATGAAATCTTAGAATGTAATTTATTGAAAATTAAATTAGTTTTTCCTTTGAGTGATGGAAAAAGATGTGTTGCAAACACATAAATTATTGTCGCAATAATATAACATCAAGAATAAAGAAGGTTAAACAATACCCCCGCCGCAGCAAACCTGCAGACTTAGTGAATTTCCATTTGCCTGATTGGATTTAAACTAAAATGTCTCCTTAACGACCGCAGCAACAGAACAGTGGCGCGTAGGCTTAACTAAATTTTCGTTCTCAATTGGCCCTCTCAATGACCTGTGTTGCCTGTACAGCGAGGCATTTTGAGAAGGAGAAAACCGACCGGAATGCTTTAGGTTTATCAATAACGAAGATAAACATGGACAACCTTTTATGGCTATAAGTCAGGAAATGTTTGTATAAAACATTAATACCCCCGCCGCAGCAAACCTGCAGACTAAGCGAATTTCCATTTGCCTGATTGGATTTAAACTAAAATGTCTCCTTAAACATATCACATATATTCCATATTTAAACAGAATTAGTTGAATGAGTACTTAGGTTTGCTGCAACAGGGAGGGTAAAAAAGTTTTTTTTTATGTAAAATGTTAAAAGGTACTGTGGTTTAGTAAGAAATTAATGTATTTTCCAAGTTTGATCAAAATATGTTCATAAACAAGCAAACTACAACAGTTGACTTATCCTCCATAAGAATAACATGGGAATTTTAAAATTACAATTTTTTTGAATTTTCTCCGTGACAATTAGGCGCATAATAACGCTTCAATATACTAAATTATTTGTTTTTTTAAGCTCTACAAAATGGTTTAAAAAGAAATTGTAAAATTTGGTGTTTTTAGGGTCAAAAATGGGAAAACCCTATTTTTACCCCATTTAACCCCCCATAATCCCCCTTTCCCATAGTCCGATTATGCTGGTTCGCGAACTTATTCAAGTTTATCCCGCCTTACACCTTCAAACCAAATTTTATCAAAATCGGACAAAAATTACTCAAGTTATCGTGTGGATGGACATATATATATAGATATATAAAAATTTGAACGAATGGTGTTTTTGGCCTCTGGGGACATCAAAATGAAAAAGTAAATCGGTCCCGGGCTTAGGTAATAGACCTACGGTAATAGCTACAGGGCTAGCTATAGGGAAATTCGCTAAAATGTGATGGAAAATGTCTACAATAATCCATACCATGATAGTTATAACCACTACAGAGAAATTAACTAAAAAAATTTCTGAAGGCTCAGATCTTTTCTTCGTTTAATAGTATCAAAACTTACAGTCGGTTCTGTAATAAAGATCCGCATGCTCAAAAAGGTCTTCAGTTTTGTTTTAGATCATTTGCATATAATATTTGGTACTACAAATCCCATACATGTATGAATGAATACACACAAACAAGGGGTTCAAATGACTAGTAGGATTTCAGTAAATTAGTATTGACTAGAACTATACCTTTTTCCCACCTTCACGTCCTAGGACACTAGACTCTAGCCCGAAACTGTTTTACGCGTTATTTCAAGCTGGACCTAGAGACAACGGCATTATCACATAGATAAAGTTCATTGGTGATTAGAGAGATTTGGACCCTGGATCTCGTGGACCAGAGCTTTGTATTGTACCGCAAGACCATGCTCCACCAATTATTACTATACCAATAACTATACCCATCCCAATCATATAAGTTCATGTTGGCTTGTATAATAGTTCTACACAGCAGTTAAAGTAGTTATGTTTTAGAGTTAAAATAAGAACTATGTAACAGCTTTCAAGAATTGAACTAGCCTACACTACAAAACTAAATGTTGAATTGAACAAATTTCAGCGTTCCAGAGCTATTTATGAAGCGTCTTCTAAGACCCTGGCTAAGAATTGAATGGATATTCCAGCTTTTGTACAAAAACGAAAGAAATGAGATACAAAATTCCTGGAAGAATTTCACAGAACCTCTTCTAAAGGTGAGTCATATTTCTTTGGCCAAAGTTATTAAATGCTACTTCAACTAATGCAATTTATTTAATTTGTAAATGGTATTAAGAAACCTAGTCCTAAGAAATTTGATCTTCCTCCACCACTGACATTTTAGGTATGAAGTTTAAAAATAATTATAAAATGACTAGAACATCAATAAGTAGATTTGGATGAATGTCAAATGAAACCCACCTAATAAGACTTCCTCTAGATGTTGCTATTAATATTTCCAAGAGAAATGCGGAAAAACGGGTTTCTTCCAAAAAGGGCAAATATTCAGTCTTTAATTTTGAGTGGTGTCCCATCTCAATACTACATTTTGTATAATTTTAATCCGGAAGAAGATTAATCTATGATAGCCCAAGATATTGTGTGTCAAGTAATGCATATTTTAGTTCCAAATATTGGCTCAGTGCAATAGTGCATATTGTAACTGAAGTTTTTCATTGAACGCATAACCCACCCTGAATTGCTTTTGTAGATGGCTAGAAAACAGAAGTTGCAGAAGACGAAGAAAGACAATGAATATGTCAACACATTGTCTAACGAAAGTGAAGGTAATTATTATAAAATACAACTTTCAAAGAATTACTTAGTTTTATCGCACTAAACCTATTCAATTATGCAGAATTTTTTTGAACTTTTAATGCCAAATACTTGATTATGTTGAATCCCTTTTAGTAAATTTAATGGTGGTTTAAATACCTTTAATTTCCAGAGTGGATCTTGTAGAATCAACCACATTTTTTACTCCGGCAGTGGAGTAATTATAAACATTACACAAAGGTAAAAGTTGAAGTGATTTAAAATGGTATGAGCATATGAACCACTATTTTATCTTCTTTGTAATAATATTTTATCGGATGATAAATCTTTCTTAATATTGATCCAAAACTATCTACGAATTATCATCGTAAATGTGTATTGATAGGAAAATAGCTTTCTTACGCTGAATCAATTTATGTATTTTAAGGTAAATATAAAATACCTGAATTAATCATTGAGTGTTGAACCTTTGGCTGTTTCTACTTTTAACTAAATTCCACTGATTCTTTACTCTGGATTGTTCATTCACAAAGGTAACAGATTTTAACTGTTACGCAGTAATAAACTTGTAAAAAGCATGTGCTTATACTTACAGGTTTAAACTTTTAAATTTTGAAAATCTTGAGGTATTTTATTCATAGTCCAACAAATTAAATGCAATATCCACAGCATTTTCATACAACAACAAATATTTTATGTTATAATGAACCGAGATTAAACAACAAATATTTGTTAATTATTGTATGTATATGTTAGGTAGATTATTTCAATATTTCAACTATTACAGAACTACTAGACATGTTGGATGCTTACCCAGTACTTCAGCAAAAACACCCAGAATTCGCCGAAGCGCATATGTTAGGCGAGATGTTTGCTTTATATTGCACAGTAAGTCATATTCTAGTGTCAGCAAGTAGTCCTCTCATACTAAATGTAAATCCTGTTTTGAGGTGATAATGTACAAATTACAATTAAGGTTGTAGTGTTAATGTTTACTAAATGCGTATCTCTTATACAGAGACAAATCTTTCAATACTAAATTAACTGTTTTTGTCAATTTTAGAGCTCAAGCAATGGTTTTTAAATTGTATGTATTATTTGCTTAAATTAGGTTTCAAATCCGTTGAACGAAAATGAATACAGTATTAAAACGCACTACATGGACATCAGATTAAAGTACCTTAAAATATTCTCTTTGGCTGATTCATGGATGTAAAATATATATAGTAAGCATAAGTTCAATGTATATTTTAGCTTTTTCTTGTTAGTAAAAACTAACAAAAAATCAGATTTTAGACTTAGGTAAATCGTAATTTAGCATATTGTTACTATGCTATATAATTATGTTTTTTACTATAATTAATTGTGATAAAAAAATTCGTTGTAATATAATGTTTTAGGGAACGGACACGGTTGGTTCAACTACTGCAGCATGCATGTTGGCGCTAGCTCAGTACCCAGATGTTCAGGTAAATATTTTGATATCTATAGTAATTTATTTGCGTATTTATTGTAATTTATTATGAGTGACGGCTTTTTTAACAAGAGCTACCAGCCGCATTTGGGTCCCAGGGCGGGTACTATGGAAGGTAGTGGCTGTGATTGTATGTTTGTGGTGAGTGAGGTTCTTTTTGTGAGTGTGTACAGGTATGAGTGGTCTGTGTGAATGTGTTAGGGCTATGTGTGTGGAATGTATGTGCCAAGTCTCAGGCATTTCAAATTATGTGTTATTTCTAATGGGATAATTTCCTATATTTTTAACGTGCAAACTGAACGCGTGATATATGCGTGCATTCATTTTTCATTCATTTTTCGTACACTGTATCGTTTTGTATATATTTATCTCGTAAACTAGTTTTTTTTTTATTTATCTTTTCTTGTAAACAAAATATTGTGTACAATATATCTTATTTTCCCTTTTTAAAAGTAGCCTAAATTTATTGTTTTATTGTGCGGATGATGGACTCAATCCCCAAGCCCATTAGGGGATTACATTTCATAAATCGTTATTTGTACCATTGTAACTGATGTACTGTACTGAAATAATAAAGGATTCATTCATTCATTCGTTCATTCATTCATTAATTTATTATTCAACTTCTAACAACTTATAAACGGTCAATAAGCAAATATGCTGGTATATATTTCTAAGCTCAACGACTTATGTGCACAAATACGTTATTTAGATGTATTTTGGCAATAACAAATGAAGGATTTGACAAGAAAACAATGAAACTTGCAATGTCAAGTAAAATAACTTATTGATTTAGAATAGTGACTTATTCCATAAAATGATCAGCTACTTAAAATCTTCAAAAGTGTGGATTATATTACTTATGTTTCTAAATATATACTCTTTGAACTTGTGAAAAGACCACGTTGGGTCGTTTTCACAATCCTTCCTGATAAGTAATAATGTAAAAGGAAGCAGAGCTGCCAACTTTTGACCTTGTTTTGTCCCTATACAGTGACTCTCTCCGAAATTATAATTTGGTTGCGTTAAAAACAACCTGAAAAAGATTATTTTTATCATATTATTTATCATAAATATATAATCTGATAATGTTTTCAGGATAGACTGTACAGCGAGATCATCTCCGTTGTAGGACTAAACGACGACATAACTCCGGAGGACCTTTCCAGGATGCCTTATCTGGAACAAGTTATTAAAGAAACAATGCGCAAGTTTCTTATTGTTCCGTTCGTGTTGCGTAAAATGTCAAAAGACGTGGAGCTGAGTAAGTATTATGTCAATCAATAGAAATATCTTTCAACAAATTATAAGTTTGATCGTTTGATGGTTTAGAATATCTCTGCAGTTGAAGAACAGTAAACGTGGCACATTTTTAGCGATAGTTTAAAGGAAAGTAATCGAACAATCAAACGCAAAGCATCAAAGATTTATAAATAAACCTATGTTTTGTTACGAGAAAATAATGTAGACAACTGAGCCAATCTGAACTCAACCGAAACCCAACAACAATTTATTTTTCCTACAGTCACCCGACAAAGTTGGCTTCCTTGTACTGTTTATAGTACAGAAAGCTGCTAATTGCTGCATATTTATACTTTGTCGTACGGTTTATACTTTGGCGCACATCAGGATTCCAACAAACCAACTCAAAACAGCGTGGTTCTATTATGCACGTAATCCGTGTACGCTTGGAAATAGGTTGGCAACACTTAAAGATAATAATACTATGAGCAGCTGATTGACTATTATAACTACGATTTAACCTGTCATTTCGTGTTTATAGTTTATGTTCTCTTTTCGGTATTTCTGAACTTTCTGGACTTTTCTTTGAAACTTTTTTAAAACATTCCTACGATCTTAAGAAACAAGAAATACCTTTTAAAACATTTTTTAGGCGTGGAAACCACTGCAAATTACAAAAATATACGGAACTATTTTCTCAAGTCGCGGAGCACATTGCTTTGGCGAGGAAAAAATAGCGGAGTGATACGGACCGAGGACTACTTTCTCTAGGGCACCTATTTGTGTTGCCAGCTGAACCTAAAAACGTGTTGTATAGTGTTTGAAAGACTAATTATTTATATGCTTTATAGTGACTGTAGGAAAAATATAATGTGTAACACGAGTGCAAAAGGCATTTGCTGCACTCGAGATCATTCCGTAAACGTTGCTCTCGTGTGCAGAAAAGTGCCACTTTGCTCACTAGTTACACAAATAACTATTTATTTACTTGCAGGCAGTTGCACTCTCCCGGCCGGAAGCGTCATTGCCTGCAACTTAGCGAACATCCACATGGATCCAGAAGTATATCCGAATCCAGATGAGTTCGATCCTGAAAGGTTTTCAATAGAAAACTCATCGGATAGAAAAGAAAAATTCTCTTTTATTCCCTTCAGTGGTGGACCCAGAATGTGTATTGGTAAATATATTTTGGGTTTTAGTATCATATATCTCATTCAATTAAGGGGCATTTCGTTCACTCAAATAACTGCACTTTTTAAATAAGAAATTTCATTCTCGAGCTAAGATTAATAAGCGCATTAAGTAGTTATTTAAACAATTTGAAATTCAAGTCCTTATGCAATTGAAGTTAGTAATTTAAATAGAAACATACACCAGTAAAACATATTTCACAGGTTTAATTTTTGCAAAGATATCTTTAGCAAGACAATAAGATTTCTTTGCGGCATCCTCCTATAGTGATACAAATTTAACTCACTTCTAAGTTTGATGTTTACATTGGCTACTAATTTGTACATGCTGGATGAGTTATTGGTAAACTCGATGATTTACCTACAAAAAAAGTATTGATCCACAGTTGTGTTTTGTCAAATACAAAAAAGTTACAAAATAAAAATTAAATTGATCAGCAAAAAAAATCTGTAGCTCTTCATTTTTATTAAATTATGTTCCCCGGTTTATTGCAAAAGGTCGTTTTCACGTCTTACATCTTGGATGCTTTTCATTTTAACAGATTTTCACTTAAAGTTAAGCAAATTCACACAATACACATTATGCAGTAACCAATAGAAGACTATGCCACAAACAATATATATAATTAAAATATCTGTTACAGCGAAGAACTACGCCATGAATCTAATGAAGATCCAGATCGCTCATGTGCTGAGAAACTTTCGATTGTCAACAAGTCAAAGTATCGACAAAATGAAGAGGAAACTGATTGTAACTTTAGTGAGTACTGAAGGTTACAACATCAGAGTTGAGAAGAGAGTTGAGAACAGAACTGGGTTCCATAGTGATTGAATGTCTTCTGGATTGGTACAGATTGTGAAGAGATAAATTGCTAATTTATAACGTAACTTGGACAGTATAAAGGATATAAAAACAGGAATGCAAGTACCAAATAATTATTAACAAATTGTCTTAAAATTGTAAGATCTTAGGATTGTAATTATTAATTTATTCTTCTAGTCTTAAACAAAGCTCTATAATGTCTCAATTTTATTATACAGCATTGTTACAGTTGTAATAAAAAAAAAAAAATGGTATTCACATTTATGTTAACAAGTAAATTGGTGACTTGTCATGTTATTACAGAATTACTGTGTGCTTGTTACTCATAATTAAATCACATTACTTTTCTTTACATTAAACGTGACTAAAAATCAAATTATGATTTATAATTATTCTTATTTGGTATAGGATGTGTACACGTACAGTTTGTAAATTTAACAAATTTGTTTTATATTTGACCTGAATGCAGTTAGCATTGTGCAAGGCATTGTAGTACTGTATGAAGTTTGTGATATCCCAAACATAAGCATTATTTTTGCTATCACGGTAACCTCAATATAATAAAATTCCAGAAAAGAAGTATGCATTTAAGTATAAATAACATTTTTTGAGAGTTTCCATTATACAAATTTGAAATTGAGATTTAAAGGACATTTTATGTGTGTTACTAGTTTTAACATACCCAGTATTTATTTAGATAACTGAAGCAAATATTGTCGAAGTTTGTATCCAATTAATTTACATTATTTATAGACGATTTCTTGAAACACGAAACCATTTATGTTGCTTCTGAGAAATATATTACAATATAATTCTCCCCCTCTGTATGTTTGTTTTGTTTAATTGATAATCATAGTGAATTGACTTTATTGCTATTATAATTAACATACGAAATGAATATTTCTTTAAATGCTATCTATATTAAATTATTTATTTATCCATAGCAATAGTATAAAATACCATCTATATCAAGTAATTTATTACTGATTCCATGTTATTTATGGTTAATAAATCATTCATTTTAATAGAATTTCTTTAATTTTCCAAGTACTTAAGTTCAATAGTTTAACCATTATGCTTTTACTTTTGGAAATATTTCTATGTTCCTAGTCTTCAAATTTCAAAATCATTTACTTGTATCATATACCAATTTTTGTTTTACAGATTAAAAATAAATGATATTTTCTGATTATAATTAATACATTTTATTACAGGGAACGTTCTATAACAGTAATTCTTACTACAGAAAAACATTTTGACTTTATTTTGTTGACGGATTTATATTTTGTAATATATCCTCATAAGTGTGTACCTATGAAATCACCATGGGACTATCTTACAATGGAAAAAAGTAGTTTATTGTTCCGACTACCCTATAACACCCACAGGGATCAATGTATCAATACCAACAGACAACCATTGCTGCACCCATTGTTGTGGATTCCCATTCATCCGTCAAACTCACTAGACTACTTCACCAAGATTTTTAAATGTTGTGGCGTGAATGATTGTTAATGGCAGTTAAATAACAATAGAAATTTAGTTATTGAAATTGTAAGAAAGAAAAAAATACTGAAAGTAAAAGGGTTTATGTTGTAGTTCAATGTCAATGTAATACCTTTGACTATTAATACAAATTCTGTATCCAATAGTCAATGGTAATACTCAAGCGGATATATATATAATAAATTGTTATTGAATTTTTAATTTCACACTTAGTCTTATAATTTTTAGAAACATTTTAATTTTATTTAGGGACGCAATAGTAGTAGCACTTGGTTTAGTCAGTTTCGTTGACCTATTTGATCCAAATATTTCAGATTATTTAGTAATTTATTTTAGTAGTACCATAGATGAAGTAATATAATTATAAATAATGAATAAATAAATTTATTTAATTAATTAATAAATGATAAAAAATATTACATCATTATGGTAGTACAAGCAAAACTTTATTTAAAATATGTGAAATTTTTTCTTAGGAGATATACGTTTTAATGATTTAAACAATTATTCTTCTTTAAATTGTACACGTCTACAAATTATTTTATTAAATTGAGTCAGCCACTTTTTAAAAATTGAACAGAATGTACCTAAATGAGAGCCTCTAACAGCCTGTGGTACTATTGCGATTCTATTTTAGCATTAAATATTTTGTAAAAAAATGTATGTTATAACAAAGTATAGGGCCGATTACAGTATCTTTAATTTTGTAATGTTATTAATATGGTTGTGTATAAAAACTATATTTTACAGTAGTAACCTGTCAATAGTACTTTTAATAATTTTTAAATATAGCTACAACATTAACACCAGTACGGGATGTCAACTAAACGTCACTTCTCTAACATTTGTTTTGAAGCATGAACCTTCACGGGTGTATTTACATAATCGTGAGCCCAGCTGTTTTGTAAGTAATGTATTCCTACTCGGTCAATGCACTCATCATCTGTTTGTGTAGTGAATCCAACGTCAAAACTGGCAAGTTCGTTTTGTTGACAATACGTTTGTCACCTACATTTACAAAATAAATGTTGATACCACACTAATTATACTTTATCTAAATGTTTCAAAACTAAAGTACCAAAATATTTTGTGTAATTGCATTTACCAAATTACTAATCAAAAGCATTTAACACAAATGGTATAAGATAAGTGCTGAATCTTGTCCTTGAGTTATACAAGTTTTATTTTTAAATACTAAATATATCATCACTACGGCCTAAAGTGAAAGGGACCCGTGCTCTTAAAACTACTTCTAACTTATTTTCAAATTATTTTGCTAATGGAAACAAGCAGCTGTTTATTAAGTGGTTCAGTCGTTTCGTCTATTATGATTGTGTTAGTTAGTATACATTATACTTTCGATATGTCTATTAACAATAAGGCAACAATTAACTTCAATCTATTAAAGAATCGATACATACTTTCGTACATGCAATTTTGTTTACAATCGAAATTTACAACTGAGTTGACAACAGCTGATTTTTACTTCCTAGGGGATAAAAACACTTTAGGGGAAAAACCAACTTTATACCCTCAACGCATGTATAAAAACGTTTTTGTTGCAGTATGACGAAAACAGATTTTTAAACTTATAAATAATCTGAACAATACAACACATCAGCTGATCCAATATATTATAAAGTAAGTGGATATTACCTAATCAAATAAAATAACATTTATTTCAACAACGTATATGACGTAACACATTGTATACAAAGACACATTAATTGTCATTTCAAACCATTTTTATACATAAATTGCATTTCTATTATTTTTAGTATGAATAAATTAAAATTATTTCAGAGCAATACATTAGGTATGAAACGTGGGTAGGTTGAAGGGGGTCCTCAACAATATGTTGACAATGAGGACTCGTCGGTGACGTATCCACTCGTCTGGATTGAATCCGATTTTCTGCCTGGAATTGTTCAACAATCCTTCCACTACACGATTATTGGCTGAATCCTTACAAAGAGTAAAGGATTGCACTTGGCAATCGTGTGTAGGTGGGACTACTGTTGTATCACTGCCACAAACGGGAGACGCAAATAGCGAAAATATTACTGTAACTCACCACTGTGTTGTTTTTAAGAAACTACGGAGATTGGAAATTGCAGTTTTACTGGAGCGTGGAGTACAAATGTTTTGCGAATTAAAATAAACTAATTGCTTAAATTAATTTGAAGATAGATAGAAAGAGCATTGTGTCTTACTTAATATTTGTACAAACACGTTTTATCCTTTATCAAATGCCCATAAGACACCGTACGGTAGGCTTAACTCGTATTTAATTTAATAAAGAATATTTAGTGGAAAGGTTAAGGACAATTTTCATTAATGTATACATTTTACATTCTTTACCATAAAACAGTAAAATGATTGATAATGTTGGTGAGGTTTGTATTTGCACAACTTGGCTCCATCCTCTTAGACATGGAGTATATTGGACGCAAACTGCAACATAATTCGTGCTAACGTAAATTAACTTTTCTAAACTCTGATACTTAAATGATAATTTTACAGAAAAAGAACTTAAAATTGAATAAATTGAATAACTTTAATCAAAAACTTAGTCGGTTGGGTTGAAATTGAATATTAGGCAAAAATCTGTTGCGATTTGGTTCCTTTTAGATGTCATGTATATTGAATGAAAATTGCAACAGAAATCTTTGAACACAAAGTTATGTTCAAACTCTAAGCCTTAGTAATCAACGGGAAAATAAACGACCAGTTATAGTGTTTTCGGTATTGTAAATTTGATGTTACTATAAATAAAATAGATACATGCTGAAGGAATAAAATGTACAACAAATCCAATACAACTTTGAGAAACTGAGCAATAACCTCTCCTTTCCATCGGAGATTTGCAAATAACACGTATTGTATGAAGGACCTTTAAACTAATTAGCGCACAGTGAACAGAACAGTTGGAAAATGAAAGCAGCCTTGGTGGAAGGTTAGGCCGATTATCATATCTCGCCGAGGACTTCCTTCCGCTCATGTGTTAAACTGCGGTCTGGTGTTGTGAGTGACATAGAATATGTGACATAGACTATGTGAACGGAGTATGTGACTAACGGTGTGTGATATGGAGTTCGTGAACTACCGTGACATACTTACGTGATACACGTACGGGGCACTGAAAAGCTATTACAAACAGTCAATTAGTTGTTAGTATGTGACGTAAGTATGTACGACTGAGTAACCTGAAAGAGAAAATACAAATTAATTTCGCACTGAACTGTGAAAAAAATGTGAACTGTTTGTGAGCGAAACTCCTTTTAGGTTTAGATCATGCAAGACGGAGTATCATGGATACAACTGAACGGTAAACAAATTTTAAGTATGTTACACCATAGATAAATCATACTTGTGTTGCTTAGTCTATGGTTACACTGATTGGAGCCTTTACGAATGCATAGTGTATGAAAATACCACGAAAAATACTCGAATACTCATTAATATGTAAGTTGTTGCGTTATGTGATCGATTTTGTGTACTCAAGCCTGTATGAAAGTGTAATGCCCTAAACTGAAAAACTACAACATATCGCGTTGAAAAGCCATGACACAATGTGTATTAAGAGATATCAAGTTTGATCGATGCATCTTCCACTCGACACAAGACAGGCGATCGAAGTGTGATCTGTAAAACTGTGACGCAATGAGTGATGAAATACTGAAAAGTATTTAGATAAGTGCAAATAATGTAACAATGTATCATGTATCAGTGAATACATTGTGCGACAGGTGGGCCAGATATACACTATACATGTGTTATCTAATGGACATTTTATGATGCATGATGGATGCAAACTAACTGTTAACTGTTTGTGTGAAGAATAAATAACTGAGTGAAGTGTGGTTCAATGTAACAGGCAGGACGATATATACTTGTTTGCTAACAGCGTTGTAATAAGCATTGGTCAATTTGTAATGTAATTAATTATGTCTTTGATGACATAAAAACTTTGTGAGCGATGTAAATACGAGTGTTGGTTCAATATTTGAACTTGCATAGGGACAACATTTACATTTACTTTTATTTCACAGTTGCAATTCCGAGTATACTGTTATTCTATACGGTGTCGGTGAAAACAAATAATCGTTCAATTACGTTTATCTTCATAGACTGACCTATAAAACCATTTTGCAGTTAAGCATTAGGATTGACCATAAACAGGCGTGTTGAAAACACAGAAGATGTAGGAGAGGAAGTAAACACTTTGATTGATTAAATTTCCTACATTGTGACTTTAGTCTACAACAACAACTTTGAATCGCTCCAATGACGATTTCCAAAGGCAGAATTTACGGTAAGTTTCATTTCTGTATTTAATACCTATTTTTTTATAGTCACGCACGCTATTGTAAAGTAAAGTTTAACGAATATAGGCCTACTCATGTATTAGGACTTATAATGAAACGGGATTTGTTAAGTTTATACATTTACTAGTGGGTGACAATGACAAAAGTTCGAGAGGCCGAAGAAGTTTTCTCCATTACATACAAATGATGTACTTAAACTATGTTCAATAGTTTAAGTGTATTATTAAGGTGTTCACTTTAAATGTGACAGTAACTGCTGTCTAATAGATTATTTTGCATTCCTATGAAAATAAAAGATAGGTTTAATAAATATATAATTTATTTAGGCCTATTCCTTAACGGAAAAAACCAATTTCTACAGTTTTTTTACGTTAGCAATCTTAGTAATCTTACTAAAACTATCTTAGTATCTTAGTAATCTTAATACAATTAAAATACCGATATAGAAGGTGTCACGTTATTACAATTAGCTTGTTTACTTTTGCATACAATTAATGCTTGTTATAGAATAAATAAATGTAATACAAAATACGTTGTACGTCAAAATATAGTGTATCAGTCTCCATTCTGGAGATGTAGCTGCAACTAAATCGTTACATATGAAGAATAAATAGGGTATTAAGAAATAAACTTAATGTAACTGGGGATCTAGCTTTGATAGGGAAAATCATTAGAATACTTCGAGCAATCTAAACAATTAATAGGCAAGTTTTCTTTGGTGTTTGGTCATTGTCACTATTTATCCAAATCTTCTTTTTTAGTCTATTTGAAATATGTTAAAATAGAAATGTCATAGTTGACTTTGTTTATGTATGCAGCAGTTATGATTCTTATTTACTGTGTACATTTTTTGGCTATTTTTGTTTTGAGTAAAAAAGTAAGATTTTCTCTTAAGGCCTTCTTATAATTAACCACTTTAAATATCTGTAAATGTTTTCAAAATGGAATTTAAATGTTTTCAGTTAACAGTTGTCAAAAGCGAAAGTCCGTGAACGGTATAAGGTCACATTGAGTTTTACTTACTTATAGTTCATGACATAAATAAAGCTAATTTGCAAAATTCCAAAACTGACCTTTGCCTTGAAGCTGGAAGGTTTATGAATAAGATGTGAACGCTGAAATGTGAAGGCATTCATAGGCAAATGTGAAAGAGCAGAAAGCATGACAAACAGTTTACCTCACTCTAACACCTCTTGATCCGGAAGTTGTTGGTTTAAACGGAAGAAAATATTTCGATCGTTTGAAATAGTTTCAAAATTTCAGTGATCATTTGACATTTAAATTTTAATACTGTGAAAACAAGTGTTATTTGAAACATTATTTCTATAGACAAATACCCCTATTTTTACTATTTAACTACGATGTGTTAAATAATATTTAATTTTATTATTTATTTTTTATAGCTATATACCTGCTACTTTTAAGCATTAAAAATGTAATTTATGTAATTGAAAGCTACGTTTAGACCGAAATTGAAATATTACGAGGAAGTCAAGGATAAATAAATGCCAGGTTACTTTCTAAACCTACATTTGAATAAAAATGTGTATATATATACGAGAAGGTAAGCTTGGTACATTTTAAACTCAAATATGCATATGCATGGATTAAACAACATTGAAATACAAACAAATAAGTCCACCATAGTGTACCTACAAATTCAACCCTCTGCGCCACATTTGAAGCATTTGTAGACCAAATGTACTCAGAAAACACAAAAACTAATTGATATAAACGACACAATCCATTAACTGTCAGTATTTTTCAGTAGTGTTTAAAGTTGACGCTGAAAGGTCGATTGTGGTTTTTTTTTATTGAGTGAATAGCAAAAATCTACCGAAATAAACTAGTTATATAACATTTAAAGTGTAAAAAAAAATACATTGGTTCTATACCAGAAAAGTTATTGATAAATTATTTCTAGAGACACAATTTTCGTTAAGTCTGACATCTTATTTTTTAATGAATAAAAAAGTAAACACATTCAGACTGAGACGCATTTAGTAATAATATGGTTTTGTAATAGTTCGGATCGTTGGTTAATTGTATTAGTACAAATCTTTGACTAATGTTGTGACAATAAGTAAGGATACTTGGAAAATGGTGGCAAAAAATGGAAAATGCATAAAACTGAATATCTTTGGAGAATATTCTAGTGTTATTTAAACTGTGTTTCAAAGGACTTATTTAATAAGATATTACTTTGATTCCAAAATTAGTTTTGTTTGTGAGTTATCAACATGCTTAGTCTGGTAACACGCTAAAAGCATACGAATATAACTAGGAATAATTACTGAGAATTGAGTGAGAAATAATGAAACAGGAAAACATGGATAGGTAGTCAGTTATCATTGTACCTGGTCTCATAATGATATTTAAAGTCTAAAAAGTCTCTAATTAAAGTCTAAAATCGACAAATAATTAAATTTTATTCATTTCATAATAAAGTACTTAATTATAAATAACATTATTATTTCATTCGCATAATTTGTTATATTATTATTTATAACCAATCAGATGTAGCGTGTTTAGAATCGCATCCTTCACTTTGAGCCAAATTTGTACTTTCAATATTAAGTTGTACTAAACAATATAGCTCACAATTTATTCGAGTCATGCGAGAAGAATACAACCTATATACACTGTTGCTATATGAGGATTATGCTTGATTTCGGTCGTAAATGTAGGCTAATTCATATGTGAACAAAGATACAATCCACCCCCAACATACTTCAGAGTCCGGAATTTACAAAATTTTCACTAACATACTGAAATACATTTTTTACTTATTGCATTCTTGAGGGGCACTTGTTAGCCAGAGCTTGCTCGATTCCGACCAATATACGAACTTTCGACACCGGAGAACACATTTACCAGATGCGCTGTGGAGAAGCAACACACATCTGCTAGTCAAGAGTTAGCTCGATTTCGACCGATATAATGGAGGATATGTCAGTTGTGTCGTTGAGGGGCAATGCAAACCCGCTAGTCTAGATGTGGCTCGATTTCGATCGATAGACACACGAGAAGTTGACCAGATGCGCCGTCGAAAGTCAAACCTTTACCTACATCAGATTTTGTGCTATTCCAACCATACACTGGCGTAGATGTTTACCAGTTGCGTCGTCGAGGGGGCAATCAGTTTCCTGTTATCACTGATAAACGCGTGCGAGGAGTGCGTGCGTGCGTGCGTCAATCAACAAGTGTGTGGTAAATCAATAATGTGGACTGGAGTTGCGCGCGCATTCGCTCCATGGCTCCATCTGAACACTACTGAGGGACGTTGACTACGATGTGATTATATCCACCACATAGGAAATCACCAGGTATGTACTACAAATATACTGTAAATCGACCTAAAAACACTTATATGTAACACACATTAGAGAATAACCCATCGTCAACACCTCCTTTGCGTTTCAAATGTTCAATAGTGATGGACCATCCCAAACACAAACAGATGGTACGGTTTCACAGAGGTATTTAAAGGTTTTGACAGTGGATTTGCGGGTTTTTAGACCCCTTAGGGTGTTTAAGGTCGGACCGGCTTTAACCTTTGCACCGGGATGTATGGTGTTCTATTTTTAAACAGGTCGATCTTACCAGGGTCTCGGCGTTACCTTTGTGATGCTAGCCAGGTTTAACGGTTTATTTTCATACATAGTGTTGCATATTCGGGACGATTTGTTGTAAAGAAAATATTTGATCGGAGGCTATAATATGTTTAGTTTCCGTATGGCTATAAGAACATCTGTTCGGCATATAAAGTATTCACGCCATTATCTCCTTTAATTATAGGTTTGTCGTTCAATATGTAAGTGTTTCAACTGAAAATTTAAAGTAATTAAAAAAAAACATTGGATATGTGTATTTATAGTACACTCTGTATGTTTTCAGTGTTTCTAACAAATCGGTTACTACTATCGGTTAGTGGTTACTCATTCTTTTTACAAAGACTTTTTCGTAGATTCTTTTTTTTTAGAAATACTGTACCGCTTTCTTTTTGGCTAGTAGATTGCCAATGTCTCACATTTGAAGCGGTACAGTATTTCTAAAAAAAAAAAAAAAATAGTAAGGAAGATAGTTTCAGCCTTTATGAATTTTTCGATCATTTTGAACATGACGATCCAAATATTAATAACTTAATATTATAGACTTCCAAACAGATAAGAGGTTTACTTGTCAGGACAAAGTTATGTGAAATTTTGTCTAAAAATGATAACGTGAAAATATAATTTAAAATGCACTTACAAATTAAGACTTGTCAAAGAGTATACTGGATAGTGGTATTTTTACAATTATATATAAATACTGGTCACGATAACAAAGCTAAAGAAGAAGAAGAGCACACATCGTTCACGTAGGTGTTGGATCGTAAGGGCGTAGGTGGCTGCACTCGGGATTTGTTCGGTTAGTGCGGTGCATTAATAAACCAATAAAACCACTCTAAAGTTAAGCTTATAGGATACCTAAATAAATTCATTCACTATCTTTTGCTCAAATAATTTAAAATGGACACGTATTTTGACGATAACCATTAATGCTACTAGCAAAGGATTACGCGTATTATTTAGCAAAAATAAACTATTTAAATTAAAGTGATTTTAATTTTCAACATATCGAAAACCTTATTTACAGAATGTTCACACATTATGTTAAATGTCTTTTTGTACAATGGTTAGCTAAATTTTAATTAATTTTTTTTAATTAATTAAATTTTACTAAGAACAATTTGAAAAAACCTTCCCTTTCGGCATTTAAAAATATCCACTTACTATGAAATTAAATTGAAATAATCTAAACTTTAATTAAAAATTTATAAATTACGTACCAATTTGTAATAAATTACGAAATTGTAGGTTTCAATTTCGTAAAACTTTATACTCGTAACGATTGTTGAATACACTCTCTACAAATACAAATATCCTTGTAAAAACAGTACGATTTTCGGTTCGAAACCTGGTATGATTTGTATAGAACATAATCT